CTTGATCCTTTCAAAACTTTTAAAAAACTTTGTTAGGGGGGGCTCTAAAATAGCATTCACTGTAGGGCTAGTTTAGTTCTACTGACAAGCCATGACTCCTAACGTTATCTAATGGATTCCCTGGATGTTGGACAAGCCTGCTCCTCTGTAGGTCATTGGAAGTTGAACATTTCCCAGATCTTGCAGGTCTGTGTTCCTTCTCCAGTAATGTATTTCCGCTTTGTGCAATGTTGCCCTCTGCTTTGGCAGCTTAGCTTTCAAGCCAAGACTCAAGAGGATGCTATGTAGATTTCTGGAGTTTTGTCTGTGTTGGTTCCTCCTTTTTGATACTCTGCCCTGAAAATTCCATCTCCTCTAGCCCTTCAAACTCTGATCTCTTTATCTGTAACTCAGCAAGGTTTTCATGTTCTGTGCTGTTTTCTGGAAAGGGTGAAAACTGGGCCAGCATAGTGCCTGCCTCATTTGTTTTTCTTCTTTCAAAGATCACAATCCCGTGTTGCCTATTAGCTGATAGGTGAAAGTATTTATTTCATTTAATATACAACTCTTGTTTTATAGTCATTTATATTGGGAAAGTGGGTCTAGTTCAGTTACTCCATCATGGACAGAAGTAAGAAATCTTCCTGGTCCTTTTCATCAGTTTTCTTTCTAATTGAGGTAAAATTCACATAAAAATATTAATCATTTAAAAGCATACCTTTTCATCAGTTTATGGTGATGCCACCTGGGTGGCTCAGTCGGTTAAATGTCTGACTCTTGATTTCTGCTCAGGTCATGATCTCACTGTTATGAGATCAAGCCCCATGTTGGGCTCCATGGTGAGCATGTAGCCTGCTTGAGATTTTCTCTGTCTCTCTGCTTCTTTCCCACTTGTGTGCATCCACATGCACCCTCTCTCTCCCCACCAAATAAATAAGCAAACATTAAAATAGATAAGTAAAGGGGCACCTAGTTGGACCAGTCGGTTAAGCATTCGACTTTGGCTCAGGTCATGATCTCACGGTTAGTGGGTTCAAGCCTCGCATCGGGCTCTGTGCTGACAGCTCAGAGCCTGGAGCCTGTTTCTGATTCTGTGTCTCCCTCTCTCTCCGCCCTCTCTTTGTCTCTTTCTCTTAACAATAAATACATGTTAAAAATTTTTTTAAGAAATGAAAGAAAAGCATATCTTTTCAACAGTTTTTAAACCAACTTTCAGAATGTTCCATATTCTTCTTCTTTTGTCAGATACTTACATTTGATCAAATAAAATATTTTAAAGGATTTGGAGTGGATTTAAAGGATTTGGAAAGTCTTACTTTCCCAGGTAAGACTTGAGTTAGTAAAATAGAGCATCAGTATCCTCTTTCCCAAAGAGTATTTCACTTGCCAGAATGGACTCAAATGGGTTTCTTTTAATATGCTAAAAACAGAATCCTATACATGATAAGTTGTATACATTACATTTTAAGCTGATAAACTACACTTGATGTGTTTCGGTGAAATAAAATATTCAGAGAAAAAAAGAAAATAAAAATAAGGGGGCAGTAATAAGGATCACCTGTTTGGGAACAAAGAACAGGAAAAAAATTTAATTAGTGTCCTTTATTCCAAGCATGCTGTTTTGCTTTGAACTTTTAAATCACACTTGATGTTTCATATTTTTACTTCTGCTCACTCGAGGAACTGGTTTCTTCTGTCGCGATATCCGTTGTGGTTGTCAAGTGCTCTCCCTCCTCTTTCTGTGACTCCTCCCTGACTTCAGGAATCTCTAATGGATAGAGAAGCCTGACTCATCTGACTCATTTCGTGGTATTAAGAGAAAAGAAAACAATTTGAAAAATTGTTGGGGTCGTCATATTCTCTGTTTTTTAAAAAAAATTTTTTACATTTATTTATTTTTGAGAGAGAGACAGAGTGCGAGCAGGGGAGGGGTAGAGAGAGAGGGAGACACAGGTTCCAAAGCAGCTCCAGGCTCTGAGCTGTCAGCACAGAGCCCGACGCAGGGCTTGAGCCCACTGACTGTGAGATCATGACCTGAGCTGAAGTCGGATGCCCAAGCGACTGAGCCACCCAGTCGCCCCTCTTGGTCTGTGTTTTTATTAGAACTCTGGAAACAAACTTGAAAGAAGTTGCGAGAGACTAATGTGTGAGTTGGCTTTAGGGGGTTTTCTGGAGATGAGGCTGTGGAGAGATCTAGGACTTGAAAATGGGCCAGCACTTAGGGCTTAGAGTGCCTATGACAGTGGAGGTCAACGCAGGAAGCTGGGGAGGAGGGCATGGAATATAAGGGATTGCGTGGTGTCACATGAAGTACGTGCTGGGGTGCAAGGTGGCTCAGAGTTTAATTAGGTTAAAGTCAGACATGAGATGCCTGTAGGAAGACAACTGAGGCAATTCTTGGTTTGGTGACCGATTCTTATTTTTTGGATGGGACAAAATCAGAACTTGTATATAGGAACGGGCAAGCCACGTTATAGAGTTTAATCTGTCAAAAATTGGAACTATGAAATCAGATATAGAGATATATAGGTGGCCAGCTGGAATGCATTAAAACTTTTTTGGTTTTGAAATAGTTTGTCCACTTTTTGCAAGCTACAGTCATTTAGGAGCAAGTAGCATTGCTCTTTATAATTCCTGCTGCAGCGCCTGGGTGGCTCAGTCGGTTAAGCGTCCGACTTCAGTTCAGGTCGTGATCTCACGGTTTGTGGGTTGAAGCCCTGCGTTGGGTTCTGTACTCCAGCTCAGAGCCTGGTCTGCTTTGGACTCTGTGTCTCCCCCTCTCTCTGCCCCTCCCCTGCTCATGCTGTGTCTGTCTCTCTCTGTCAAAAATAAATAATAAACATTAAAAAAATGTATAATTCCTGCTTCCGTTAGGAGTATCTCACGTTGCTCTGCTGCTGCATTGCCCCTGAAACACTGTGGGTGCAGCCACTACTGTTTGTGTGTGAATCCCATGAATTAAGCATTTGTTGCTAGCAATTTTCAAGTTAAAAATTTCCTTAGCCCTAAAAAAAATGTGTTAGCTTTAGCACATTTCATCTTCCCAGTTTGACCCATACATGCATTACATACATTCACGTATTAAGAAAGGAAAAGTAACGAAAGCATTTACAAGACAACCTCCGCTGGGCTCCTAGGAGAGAATACTGGTGACCCTTGAACGACACAGGCTTGAATTGTGCGGATATTTTTCAATAAATACTGAACAACACTCTATGCTCTAAGTCTGTTTTTTCTTCCTTAAATTTTCTTAGAATTTTCTTCTCTCTGTTTATTGTTAAGAATATGGTATACAATGCACAGAACGTACAAAATAGGCATTGATCAGCTGTTTATGTTATCGTCAAGGCTACCTGTCAACTGGAGGCTGTTGGTGATTAAGTTTTGGGGGAGTCAGAACTTACACGCAGGTTTTCAACTGTACAGGGTGGTCAGCACCCCTCATCCCGACCTCAGAGGTCAAAGATCAACTGTACTCCCGTCTTGTCTAGTGAAGAAAACCTGAGACTCAAGGATACCCTGAAACCCTGAGGAATCCTCTTAAACATCAGAAGCAACACAAGGATTTTCAGTTTCAGCCATGAGCAGTAGCTGACTGGACCTTCAAATTGTATGTGTTCGTCTTTTATTGAGGGCTCTGGGCCTGGCTGCCAGATGGCACGGGCGGGCCACACGGAGCAAGGCTGGGAGCTGTGGTGGCAGAGGGGGGAACAAAATAAAAAAAGTTCTGCAGCAACCACTTTGGTATTTCTGGAGGTTGGAGTCCCCCGCCCCCAACTCACATCAGTTTAATTTCTTAAGGTTTTTTAGAATTGTTCTGCATCAGATCCTCATCCAAGTTCATTTGCTGGCAAAGCTGGTTTTCCTACAAACTTGTAGGAATGGCTTAAATGAAAGTCAGTGCAAGTCCTGATTCCCAACTGCCCTGCCTGGAATACACTGTATGTGTGAATTGAGTACCAGTTTTGGTCAGCTGCATAGACAGAACTGGGCCAAGATATTTTCCTGCCTGTTAATCAAGGCCCCACAGACAAAGCTCAAGGAAGGATGACCGCTGCCTCAGGAAGCTTTGAATCAGCTACTATTTATAACCAGCCTACAGTCTGACTTGAGATCAGGTCTTTAGTCACTTGATAAGATATGGTTTTTGCCACGTTTTACACTTGCGGAAACATTTATGAGCCTGAATGAGTGAAGCCTGTATGTGAAAGGAAGGAGTGTGACGATGACTGCAAGTATTTTTGCCGATTCGGGCCAAGGGTGTGGTGGCAGAGATGCGGAAAGTTCAGTCAGTGATGATCGAGGGCTCTCCTAGCATAGGGGAGGAGGAGGAAATCAGGTATTCGTGTGCTTCCAGACCAACTGGCTCTTCCTCTGGATGTATACATAAACCTTTTAGTTATTTGAGATGTATTTCTGTGTATGTACATTTTTTGTAATACTCTGCTGGTCCTTGTTTCATGAAGAGAAGACCCCCTAAAGAATTGATTTCAGGGGCTTCTGGGTGGCTCAGTCGGTTAAGCGTCCGACTTCGGCTCAGGTCATGATCTCGCAGTTCACGAGTTCGAACCCCTGCATCGGGCTCTCTGTTGACAGCTCAGAACCTGGAGCCTGCTTTGGATTCTGTGTCTCCCTCTCTCTGCCCCTCCCCTGCTTGCACTCTGTGTCTCTCTGTCTCTTAAATAAAATGTTAAAAAAAGAATTGATTTTACAAAGTAATGTAGTATACTACTATGTGTAATCTCTTATAAAACCTCAGTCTACCTAACTGTAGGAAATTAAACAGAGCAGAAAATTAAAGCTGACAATTTGAGAAATATCACATGTTAATATTTTCTCTGTATTATATCACCATCTTAGGAATGCCTTTATGGAGTTGAATTACTTAATGGATGACAGACACAGTTTTGCATGTGCAACGTAAATGAATTATTTAGGGATAGAGAGAGGCAGTGTTTTAGTGGACTTTGAGTTAGGAAATTCTAAAACTATGTTAACATATTCTTGTCTCATTTTAATAGGAACGTTCAAGATAAAGTTGTAGCTGTTTTCAACAAGGATCAGTGATCAAAATTCTCCTTTTTAAAAAGAGACTTCCAAGTTAACGATGAAAGGAAAATACTGCAATTGCCTGGATTGCAACTGACAGGATAAAAGAATACAGTGTTTCACGGTTACTTACAATGGAGCCTCAGTAGACCTCATACTTGGTCATGCACCCAACTGGGAACATGGATGCTGGTTTTTCTCGTTCTGCTCTTCAGACCCTGTCAAGAAGCCACTGCAAAAACATCAAACAAAAAATTTCTCAGTGGGAAGGAAGAACGAACGGTATATCTAACCCAGAGAGGTGGCATCCAAAGGACTTTGGAGTGAGGTATAATAACTGTCATCAGAACCTTCTTGGGAAAAATCCTGTTGCTGAGGAAAAGAGCAAAAAGTTGGCTGTAACCAACCCTCCAAATGTCGGTCTGGATACCAATGCAGATGCCAAAAGCCAGGAGCAAACTGAGGGTGAAAGCGAGAGACGTGAAGGGGATGGTACACACCCGTTTCGAAATGAGTCAGAATCCAGCTGGGTATGTTCTCAGGTCAAACAGATCGAAAGCTGGAAAGACATTTTGGATGCAGAGACTTCCTTACCTCCAGGAAACTTCTATACCTCACAGATACTGTGGAAGAAAATAGAGGCACTTCCCCCAGATAAAGTCTTCAGCTTGGCTTTAGAACATTGTGACTCTTCAGAAAAAGAACTGAATTTCCAAGTTCCGGATAGTTCATATGGGGTAACCAAGAGCTTAGAAAACATTTACTCTGAACCTGAGGGACAAGAATGTGGACCTTCTATAAATCCTTTGCCCAAACCTCGTAGGACGTTCAGATATTTATCCGAGTCTGGTGTTATGCCATGTAAAGAAAGAAACTGTGACAGAAAATACTGTGAAAATAATTCTTGTGCAGAGTCGTCTTCTTTGGCCTCTTCTCAGGAACCCGAACCAAAGAAATATGGCAGACAAATCAGAGGGCGATCTAAAAGGTGTGTATTTGCTAGTGATGATTTCTGAGTACTGTCCTTACAGAACTACTAAGCTTCTTTTGTCTTTTCAAAGCAGTTTTACCTTCCCTGCATGGGTTAGAGGCCTAGCTTGATTTTACAGATGTTGATTAACCTGGGAGAAAAGTACCTACAAGAGGAAATAGAAGTATAGGTGACATATAAGGCAGTCTCCGGACACAAGAGCATCAGAAAGACTTGCGTTTTTATATCTTTAAGAATGTGTAGGCAAGTGTACATTCTTCTGCTTCACTTAGGGCATGCTGGTCTTGGCTTCTTAGTGGGTTAATTTAATAAAGGTATGCAATAAAGAACACGAATGTAATTGGCCAAAAGCCTCCACTTTTCTCATGGTGCAAGCATATAGGGTACCAGCCTAGTTTATTATTCTCAGGTATCTGATAAAGCACCTTTGTACTTTTGCATACAAGTCCTTATAGTTTTCTATCATACCATTTTAGAGAAGACTAGAGTTTTAAAACATGTAACTTTAAAACATATCTCCTTTCTTAAGGAAATCCTTTGAATTTGAGGATATTCAGCACTTTCGAAATCGGAACTCACAGAAGATTCATGAAGAACTTGGAAGAAATTCTGGCTCAGCACTTTATTATACACAATCTGAGGACAATATCTATGAGGATATCATATGTACGTGTCTACAAACTTTGCAGTTAAATTTAATGGGGGTGCCTGGGTGGCTCAGTTGGTTAAGCGGCCATCTTCGGCTCAGGTCATGATCTCATGGTTCGTGGGTTCGAGCCCCGCGTCGGGCTCTGTGCTGACAGCTCAGAGCCTGCAGCCTGCTTCAGAGTCTGTATCTCCCTCTCTCTCTCTGACCCTCCCCTGCGCATGCTGTCTCTCTCTCTCAGAAATAAATAAAATGTTAAAAAAAATAAATTTGACGAGTATGAATTTGGTGGTGGAGCTCGTAACTATAGGATGGTGTTTTCTTTTATAACCAAGAATATCTTGCTGGAGAGAGGGGCAGAGGGAAAGAGAGAGAAAATCTTAAGCAGTCCTCACACCCAGTGCAGAGCCTGACACAGGGCTCGATCCCACATCCCTGGGATCATGACCTGAGCCAAAATCAAGAGTCGGACGCTCCTCCAGCCGAGCTACCCAGGCGCCCCTCGATATTTCTTTTTAGTATGGGAACTTTAGTCATATAAATTCTTTTGTTCTTGAATGGTTTTTACAGCTAGTTTAGTGGACTGCTTAGTTCAGAAGTAGATGTTTATAGTATAGTATTTTGAGAATTCATTTAGCTTGGTTTGATGCCTGAGTGATTTACAGACTTAAAGTGCAGTTGATTTTGAGACCTACATCCCTACAGCGATGTAGAATAGGAAGCTGAGTGTATTCAGTCAGTTCGATCTTTCTTTTTCTAGCTGTAGTCACTTTGTTTCCATGTAACTATGTTTCTGTAAACCTTTCTCCCCCATTCTTTTTCAAGATCCGTCCAAAGAAAATCCATATGAAGATATTCCAGTGCAGCCTTTGCCCATGTGGAGATCCCCTTCGGCCTGGAAACTGCCACCTCCTAAAAGTGCTTTCAGAGCACCAAAGGTATAACCAAAGAATTCGTATGAGAAAACATCATATATAGTGAATATGAGAAAACATAAGAATCTTGTTTACGATCTCCACAAAAAGGTTAAAATGATTTAATGAGGGAAGATGTAGAGGCCCTGAAATACAGGTTTTGTTGGTAGTGGTGGGATTTTTTGTTCTTTGTGGGTGGTTTTGGGCCGCACACAGCTTTTTGAGTGCTTCGCTTTTGGGTTTTTTGTTTGTTTGTTTGTTTGCTCATTTACTAGCACTTCAAAAAAATTAGAATATGAACACCTTTAAACGAGCCATGAGCTTTTCATTCCACTGTAGTTAACCACAGCTCCCTACTAGTCTTACACAGCCTGTGGCCTCAATTACCTGTCTGGTCCCTGAAAGCATTTGTCACCCGTGCAGGCAAAGACTGCCATTTATTAACGGGGACTCTGAGCTCTCATTCTCTGGAGATTTGACTACACTGTAGTAGAATTTTGGATTTGAAGCCTGAGAAACGTCTTTACAAATGGTGAAAAAGAAATTGTGGTATCCTCAACCAAGATGAATTTAAAGACAAGATGAATCTTTTTCTGAAATAACTTGACCTTGAGAACATAGGCATTACATAGACGATCTCACCCTTACCGGTACATCTTCTCCTGTTTTAGCTTCCTCCCAAACCACAGTTCCTACACCGGAAGACTATGGAATTAAAGACCTCCCAAGCTTTTTTACGGTCAAAGCTCACAAAGGATACCACTCTGCCTGTCACTTTAACGGAATGGAAGCTTTTCCGAGCCGGAGAAGTTGCAAACAGGAAAAGGAAAAATCTTCCAAGGGTAGGGGCTCCAGTACTTTCATTCTTTGACCCTTACTTCGTTTCCATAAGTGAGAATAAATAAACTTTAGACTGAAATGAATCATAAGTTAGAACTGATCTGTTGGGATGAGAAGGTTTGGAAAGCAGCCTCAAGTTTTAGGTTTTTGCTCATGAAAGAAGAATGCCTGAGAGACTTGCCAGGGTTTCTTTAGGGATCTGGAAAATTGACTTTAGATGGACAGTTCACTTCCTTTACCTTAGTGCTCGTTAAAATCAGCTGCCTGCCTCAAGGAAGCACCAGAATCTCCCATAAGAGGATGTTCTCCTTCAGTGCGGTTATTCTCACTCACCTATAGAATTGCTGAAGGAAACGGTTTTGTGCCTGAATTTACAGATTTTCAGCACTAACAAAATATATGCCTTTAATTTGGGGCTAAAGGAAGAAAAAAGAAATTTCACTCTCACTTGGGGATAGAAATTATCAGCAATTACATTAAATAAATGATATCTCTCTCAAGGGAGAGAAGGCAATAAATCTAAATCATCTCCGTCAGAGCTCTTAGAACCAAAATGGAGAAACTTGGATTATTTGTAAACACAGATACATGCTTTTTGACAGATACATTTTTTTAAGGAGGGACACTTCCGAAAGCGCATGACAGTATTTTTAAATTTTTATGTTACGTGGTTCTTCTGTAATTCAGAATGTTTTCGGGGTAACTGTGTAGAAATGAAAAAAAAAAAAGATCATTTAAAGGGTCTTCCTTTCCTTCATCCCATCTGAATTTAGCTACATGTCTCCATCTAGCACAGAATTTTTGTACCCGATTTCAACATTAAACAAAAGCCACAGCTGTTTCTTGGTTTAGTAACTGCCGATTGGCTCCTTGGGAAATATTCTGTTCCACAGTACTTTAATTCTTCTGATCTATTTCCTGCCCCTCCCTCCTTACTATGTGAAGCGTTAAAGACACACAGTTTTTAAAAAAGCGCTAAACAGATCTCTGTCAGTGAAAAAAAAAATCCTCAACTGTTTAATCTCCTGTGTGTGCTGAGGAAGATGTAAAATCAGATGTGGAGAGAATTGCTAGGCATTCTGCCGTATTCTCTGATACAACATGCTGGCCCAGCAAAGCAGCCTCCCATGTGGCTCAGAGATGACAGCGGTCACAGGGGCCACAATACAGTCACAGAAGGAATTGCACTTAGGATGTGGTGCTTGGAATGACATTAACAAAATATTTGGGAATAACGGATTGTAGGCTTTAATGAGACCTGCAGTGCTTTTAACTTCATGCCCCAGTGTTTTAGGTGATGTGGATCCTCCAGGTACTCAAAGCTTGTTCTCTTTTTGATTAGGGGTGATGCTCTACCACTTCTCCTTTTCTACTCATTCCCCCACTGGTCTTTTTTTTGAGATGTGAGGTGGGAAAATAGGACTGTGAATTCCTACTCTTGATGGCCAGGCAGGAACAAGCCGTTAGCATTTCTACTACGACCCTCTTCGGGTTAAATTTTATTAGAATGTTCTTGCAAATCCGATTTTGACCTGTAGGTGTCTTCAGCAACAACATTCCATGAGGAAAGCAGTTTTCATTTACTTCCCCTTTGATGACTAGAGCTTTCCCTGGAAAGGAAACCGGTTTCACAGTTTGGAAATCACTGATCTCGTCCATATGCCTGCTCCCCACCCTTCCTCTCTTTCCCTCCCGTGGAAGCCCTCATGGGCTCGGTTGCTACAATAGACTTCCTGATGTCTCTCATTGTTCGTGGCCACTGTGTATAGCAGTACGGTGTCTACCATTCCTTAGGAAGCGTATTCTACAATATTTCCTGCAACTGGAAGGTAAATGTAGGCTTCTTTTCCCAACTCATAGCCAGAATTTCCATTTTATTACTTTATCTCCGATTTCTAGAACAGATAGTTCTCTTTCCTTTATAATATTGGAGGCTACTTTTGAGTGTAATTTTCAGATGCTCATTAATAATTATACTATTTTTGGCCATATGTCCCCATAATACATGTTTACTTCCATATATCTTTCCTTAATAGCCCCTAACAATATCTTTTTATGTTAGATTCTCTTGGGTTTTTTTTTTTACAACAGTAATATTTAAGAACACTGGTAATTTTTCACTTGAATGGCAGCTACAGAAATCTTTTTTTTAATTACAGTTTATTGTCAAGTTGGTTTCCATATTACAAAAGTCTTTAAAAGCACAAACCCATCCAAAAATGTGGGAATAATCTGCATATTGGAAGCACATGTTTCTCACATGTTATTTTTCTTGTGCTGGACTGATTCACTGCCTGTGGATTGCCAGGATTGCTGGGGAAACAAGGACAAAGGAGAAAACAAGAACATTCTCCTCAAACTTTGTTGGCTCTTATGTTCCTAACAGTTGTAATTTGGAGGCATTAAATATGTTAAATCAGGATTAATCATTAAGAAAAAGCTTGGAACTTTAAGAAAAAAAGAAATACACATGGCAAACTAATGAATTTCTCCTTTTTATTTAAGTTTATTAATTTAAGCAATCTCTTCACCCAACATGGGGCTCGAATTCACAACCCCAAGATCAAGAGCCACATGCTGAGCCAATTCCTCCTTTTAAAAGTTTGGGAGGAACTGTTTGGGGCATCTGGGTGGCTCAGTCGGTTAAGCATCCGACTTTGGCTCAGGTCACAATCTCACAGTTCGTGGGTTGGAGCCCCGTGTCAGGCTCTGTGCTGACAGCCAGATCAGAGCCTGGAGCCTGTTGCAGATTCTGTATCTCCCTCTCTCTGACCCTCCCATGCTCACACTATCTCTCTCGCTCTCAGAAATAAAAAAAAAAACATTAAAAAAAAAAGTGGATGTTTAGTGGGGCAACTGGGTGGCTCTGTCAGTTAAGTGTCTGAATTTGACTCAGGTCATGATCTCATGGTTCATGAATTCAGGCCCCCACACTGGGCTCTGTGCTAGCTTGGAGCCTGCTTCGGATTCTATCTCCCTGTCTCTCTGTCCCTTTCTTTCTTGCGCTCTGTCTCTCAAAAATAAATAAGAACATAAAAATTTTTTTAAAAAGTGACTCTTCATCAGCTTGGTGTTTTCCTCTATTAAAAAATATTTTTTAAATTTTTTTTAAATTCGAGTATTGTTTACATATCCTTCCCCTTTTAAAAAAAATTTTTTAATTTGAGAATTGTTCACATATCTTTCCCCTTTAAAAAAAATTTTTTTTTACTTTAATTAGAGAGAGAGAGCATGCACGTGTGTGCAGTTGGGGAGGAGGGCAGAGGGAGAGAGAGAATAGTACTCAATCACAAATCCTGGGATTATGACCTGAGTCAAAATCAAGAGTTGGACCCTCAACCGACAGAGCCACCCAGGAGCCTCCATCTTTCTAACCCTACTTTGTGTATGTGTGTCTGTGTCTATCTGTTTCTCTCATACACACCTCCTAGCAGCAAAGAAAAATATTCTGAGTAATGCTTATTAAATGGAGCCTGGGTTTTATACTAAAGCATATTTGAGAGCCTCCTATTTTTATGATGTTTCTAAAATAGATTGTAATATTAGTGTTCCCAGTAGCAAAGAGTATTTGCTTTAACAAAAACTTTTGTCAGCATGATTATCTTCTTTTTGTGAAGAATTCCTGGGAGCAGAAATCACTGAGCCTTACCCTGCCTTCCGAGTGGAAGGAGTATTCCACTTCCTACTCTGGGTGATAGGAAAGGCTTGCTCAACAAATAGAGTGTACGGAGTACCCAGGGAGCTCAGTTGGTTAAGCGTCCAACTCTTGGCTTCAGCTCAGGTCATGATCTCATGGTTCATGAGGTCAAGCCTGAAGTTGGACTCTGTGCTGACAGTGCGGAGTCTGCTTGGGATTCTCTGTCTCCTTCTCTCTCTGCCCCTCCTCTGTGTTCTCTCTCTCTCTCTCTCTCTCTCTCTCTCTCAAAATAAATAAAGGAATTTCAGAAAAAAAAACAGAGTGCAATAGGCAGGTTTCTTGCATGCTGTGATGAGGAATGATAAGGAATTTCTCTTAAGAGCATGTGCTGGATCCTTCTGGAAAGGAGATATCCTTTCCTCCTTCTCTACCCCTGTTATACTTTGTTATTAGAACAACATATCATTATACTAAACATTAGTTTAGATTCAAAACTGAAAAAATGCAAGGTTGTTATTTTTAAAATGGATCTTTCTCTGAATGAGAATCACTAATAATTAATATGAAAACTTGGTGTTCAATCTTTAGGGGAAAAAAATGTGAGGCACCATCAGTGGAGCATGTGACTCTTGATCTCGAGGTTGTAAGCTCAAGCCCCACATTGGCTGTAGAGATTACTTAAAAATAAAGTTTTTCTTACTTAAAAAATTTTTTTAATGTTTATTTTTGAGAAAGAGGGAAGTGCACGAGTGTGGGAGGGCCAGAGAGAGAGGGAGGCAGAGGATCTGAGACAAGCTCCATGCTGTCAGCGCAGAGCCTGATGTGGGGCTCGAGCTCACGAATCATGAGATCATGACCTGAGCCAAAGTCAGATGCTTAACCAATGAGCCACCAGATGCCTGGTGTTAGTTTTAACTTGTGCTTTGTTGGTCTCTTTTCAGCTTGTATTGAAAATCGCGGACATATTTGAGTCTAAGAGAGGGAAAAAGAGGGTAAAGTTACACCCGTATGCTGGAAAAGACACACCTCCCCCAAAAGGTAAGAATTGTTCCAGCTGTGCAGAGCTACCAGCATTTGAGGGGAGAGTCCTATAACTTGACATTTATGTAAATTAGAATTTTTGGTTTACTTTCCTATCTATCCCACTTAAGTGCAACTTACTTAGGATAAGGGATTATTTCTTATTCTTCCTCAAATCCCTTTTACTTAGTTCTCTGGCAAGTAATACTGAAGTTAAAAAATTAAAAACTAAATAAGTTAAAAAATAATTCTAAACCAGTGAGATTAATTCTTATAGGCAGATTGCATTATTTTATAATCCTGCTTTGATGTATAGCCATTTATCAGTAGAGAACTGAGAGTATTAGGTATATATAGACTGCAGGTATGTGGCACAGAAATGGTAGCCATCTACTAAGTTCAGTAGTAGTTTTATCCTTCAGATGCCTAGATAAAAGTTACATTGTCTTTTTCTTTTAATTTTTTTTTAATGTTTATTAATTTTTGAGAGAGGAGAGACAGAGCAGGAGCAGAGGAGGGGCAGAGAGAGAGGGAGACACAGAATCCGAAGCAGGCTCTAGGCTCTGAGCTGTCAGCACACTGCTGGACACAGGGCTCGAACTCACAAACAGTGAGATCATGACCTGAGCCGATTTCGGGTGCTTAACCGACTGAGCCACCCAGGCGCCCCAAGAAACTTTCAACATCCGTAGCGAATTATTAGAATTTTCTTAGCCTCATGCAAGATTCTTAACTTGGTCGTCTGACAAAGAATATGCAGAATTTAGCAATTTTTGTCAAGTGAGAAACAGCCAAGTCATAACCAGAGAAGAATGTTTCCTATTTTTGCAGACATCCAAAGACAAAAATTTCTTAATTTCCCTCGAAAATCTGTTCTGCATGCCAACAATTACCATCTGAAAATAAAAATCCTTCCTGCTCCAATTTAAGCCTGTTTCTTCTTACTCTGCAATCAGCTCGTCACCATTTTAGATACAAGTTTCCATATTTTCCAAAGCAGTTATCAAAACACGTATTAATCTTCTCTGCTGCAGAAGAAATCATTTTGGTTATTGCTGCTAATAGGAACCACTTCCTGAATGAAGTAGTAGATTTCCTACATACTCTATGTCATGGATGACATACCAGGAGCCAGGGACAGTCCTTAATTTCCAGAAGAAGCTGAGCCCCAGAGGAGGAAGTGTTGGTTTGAAGGAAGGAGCATGGCACCATGAAGTCCGGCCCTTTCCTGTCACCAACAGCTACTCTCCATTTTTCTCATATACCTTGATTTTTAGCGGTTTAATGATTTCTCCACGTGTTTTTTGTATCCCCAACAAGAATATTGTCAAAGGCTTTCTATGTGTATATTTCAGAACTAGATACAGAAGATGAAATTATTTAGACTCATTATCATTAATCTTCTAAAGAGCCCTTTGTGACAGACCTTATCGTCACTGTTTCTAGATAAGAAAATAAAGTGCAAATTGCAAATTATGTCAAATTTCAAGACCCTGGGGCCAGGACACATTCTTACAAAGCATTACCATTTTCCCAGATTCATAGCAATCTACTGACAGCTACATTCTCAATGCTTATGGTGCACCAAGTAGGCTCTTACTGATCTCATTTTATTTGCATGCCTTATGCCTTATGGATTAGGGACATTTCAGTAAATTTGGCTCTAAGATAGGTTTTTGAAGAGCCAGACCTTCTTTTTCCCCCACTGTATCATTATTGAAAAAAAAATTTCAACAGCATGAATTGCGAACTTATAACAACAATCACAAAAAAGAAGAAAGGAAGGAAAGAAAAAAAGGAGTAGTCCCTAAATTATACCCCTTCCCCACAAGTGTGTTTTTCCTTTTGCATGGCTCTGAGGAAATGTGCCCTGTGACCGGCTCCTCCTGTAGGCCTGAGGAGTCCTGGCTCATAGTCACACATTCTCCGATTTTGTTTTCCTCCTTAAAGCTTTTGTCTGTAGATCAACAATGACTGGTAGAACCAGATAATTTCTTTACCTACTCTGTCAGAACATGCAAGGTCTTACTGAATCTGTTCCAACCTAAACATTTCTTAACTTTTAGTTATCAGCTGTTGCAAAATGATATATTGCCCTTCCTCAATTCTGTCATTATAATTTTGTGTCTTGAAGTCACATGTAAAAAAGGGACAACGTATTTCTCTTTTGATTCCTACAGATTCTAAATAGATTCTCCTCTTGGCTTATAAATCCCTCAGCCTCCAATTAGTGTCTCAGAATGCAGACCACCAGAACCTGCAGATGTCAATGTAGAAAGCCACCTAGATGAGCTTTCAGAGGGTCTCTTACAGTTGTATTACCTTTCCTTCCTTTCCCCTTCCTTTTCTTTCTTTCCACACACTTGATAGGCCCCTAAGAAGTTCCTGATGCTGGGGCATCTGGGCGGCTCGGTCGGCTGAGCGTTCAACTTCAGCTCAGGTTACGATCTCACCGTTTGTGAGTTCGAGCCCCGCGTTGGGCTCTGTGCTGACAGCTCAGAGCCTGGAGCCTGCTTTGAATTCTTGTCTCCCTCTCTCTGCTCTTACCCTGCTCATGCTCTCTCTCCTTCAAAAATAAATAAACACTAAAAAAAAAAAAATATATATATATATATATATATATATATGAAGTGCCTGATACTAAGGGCACAAACAGGACTCAGGAGCTCACAGTGTTTGTTCCTTCATACCGAGTGTGTTTTCTACCATGGTGGTTAATGTGAAGTTATAATGCCTGTAAGATAGTAGCTACGCTTGTGATGAGCACAGCGTAACGTATGCACTTGTCAGATAGCTATATTGTACACCTGAAATGTGTACAAGAGCATGTGACTATTGATCAGAGGGCCATGAGTTCAAGCCCCACATTGAGCATGGAGTCTACTATAAATAATTCTTAAAAATGTTTGTTTATTTATTTTGAGACAGAGACAGCACAGGCATGTGAGTGGGGGAGGGGCAAGAACAAGAGAGAGAGAGGATTCCAAGCCGGGCTCTGCGCTGACAGCGTGAGATCATGACCTAAGCCAAAATCGACAGTCAGACGCTCAACCAACTGAGCCACCCAGGTACCCCTAAAAAAGTTTTTTTTAATAAAATAAAGGAGGCTCCTTGTAGGCCCAATCAGTAGAGCATGCCACTTTTGATCTAAGGGTGGTGAGTTCAAGCCCCATGTTTGGGTGTGGAGCCTACTTAAAAAAAAAATCCAAACCCCCCCAAAACCTATACAGTACACACAGTTTAAATAGCTACTTTTTCTGTTACATCTCCTGTGAAGAACATACATTTTTTAATGTTCTCTTATTCCTAATATTAAAAAATTTAAATGAGCACAGCAAAAAATTAAAATAATATAGAATGAGAAAAAAATTAAATCCCAAAGTTTCCCAAACCTCCCAGAAAATTTTATGCACATGCAAATATTTTTTCTACCCAAATAGGTTTTTTTTCTTAAAGAGGAGTGAATAATTCAATTGCATTGTGATTTTACTTTTTAAACATTTTTTAATGTTTAGTTAATTTTGAGAGAGAATGAGAGCAGAGAGGGGAAGGAGAGGGAGACACAAAATCCAAAGCAGGTTCCAGGATCCAAGCTGTGAGCACAGAGCCCAGCGCGGGGCTTGAACCCACGAACTGCGCGATCATGACCTGAGCGGAAGTCAGGCATGCAGCCAACTGAGCCACCCAGGCACGCCTACCTAAATAGTTTTTTATACCGTTTAGAATTTGTATATCTTGCTTCAAATTAAAAAAAAAAGTAATATATTTTAGAGTTCTTTTGGTATCAACACAGAATAGACATTTTGGTTGTTTCACAATTTATGGATATTGAAGTTCTATGTATGTGTATATATACACTATATACATATATATATATTGCTCTTCAAACAATACTGCATTACGTATCTTTTTGTATATATCTTTGTATATTGGTAAGAATACATCTGTAAAATCAGTTCCTTGCATTGGACTTAACCAAAACACATGTACATTTAAAATTTTTTATAACTGTTGCCAAATTGCCCCACAGATTACAGAACTGTTTATATTTCTATGGAAATATAAAATGAGTTTTTTCTCATAGCCTTCACTAAATTTCTAAAAAATTTCTAAAAAATATAGAAATTTTTTATATCATCAAACCTAGATACATTTTTCATGTATGACTCCTAGTCTTGTTTTTCTTGTTACAGAAAGTCCTGTTTGTGTGCTTAGCATCACACACCCCTTAAGAACCTCTAGAAGAGTCTGGCAAGAAAGAAAAGAAAGGGGAAAGGGAGGAAAGTTCCAGAAAGATTTTTCCCTTTCTGACACTTAACATTCTTAACATTTTGCTTTAAGTTTTCAGCCTTGATCTAGAAATTTTTTATTCACTCGTTCAGAAAGCTGTGTGTGTGTGTGTGTGTGTGTGTGTGTGTGTGTGTAAATTGGCCATGTGTCCAGCACTGTGGTACAAAATACCCCTTGTAAAAGCATAGCTTCTTATAACCAAGGTACTGAGGAGAATAAGAGCAGTTCAAAGCAGTCTGAGCACTGTAAGAATTCAGAGTAAAAGAACACCAAATTTGGCCTAGAAGTAGCTTAGAAGCACCATAAAATAGATCAGATGCTTCTTCATAAATTTGTGTGGTTATCCCTCTGAGCCTCACAGTTTCCTTTTACTCTAAATTCATGGTTTGTTCTGTATTGAGGTGTTTATTTAGCCAGGTTGATATAAAGAAAAAGGATGTGAATGTAGAAATAGAGTCTGTTCCGAACCGGACTTCTCAGGGATGAGCCGAGAGGCGAGGAAGGAGCTAGAGTAGATTAGTGGCCGCTCTGAGCCTTGGTTCTCTTGTGTGACCGCCCTACGTGGTTGTAAGCAGGTGGCCTGGAGAGTGGCCTGGCACCCTGATAACTCCTGACTCCACGTGTCCAGGCTGTGTAAGCTTTGACACCATTCTCCTCCCCATGGACTTCCTGCCACTGGACAAGACAAATAGGAACTCTTTCTCTCTTTTCAGGTGAAACCAGTGGGAACGAAAGTGATGCTGAGTATCTGCCAAAGAGTGAGTGAGTCAGTGGGGCTGCTCCCTTCCCTGTCATGGTCATGGTCATGGGTGGAGTAGCATCTACCTTTGTGACTGAGTGTGTTTTTCCCACATTCAGCTTTATTTTGGAGGTGATATTTTCATGAGAAGGACCTGCTGAAATCTGGGGGACTAAGTGGTACACTGTTAGATGTTTGACAGCGTTAAAACCCTCCCATGGCGGAATGAGGCAAATGGTGTGGTTCGTGAGCTGGAACGTTCTTAGGGGAGCGGTGAAACTGCATGTCCAGACATATATGCAGCCGTTTCCCAGCAGCCAAAACAGTATGTGAATCATCCTCCAAGACAAATACGTACCATTAAACATCTAATTTTTCATAATTGCTCAAGGGTACTTAGTTAAGTAACTTTGATATCTCTGATATTGAGGTAGGAAACATCTATCTATTTCTCATTTACAGACATTTCTTTATATTTCAAATTAGTGTGCCATTTACTTTCTTTTTTTATTATTTTTTTTAGTATCCATTTATGTTAGAGAGAGAGACAGAGTGTGAGCGGGGGAGGGGCAGAGAGAGAAGGAAACACAGGATCTGAAGCAGCTCCCAGCTCTGAGCTGTCAGCACAGAGCCCAACGCGGGGCTCGAACTCAAGGACCGCAAGATCATGACCTGAGCCAGAGTGGGACGCTTAACCAACTGAGCCACCCAAGTGCCCCTGTGCAGTTTACATTCTAAATTAGCACATAGAATCTGCCGTGCATTTTTTTTACTGTTTTTGTTCAGACATTTCATGGTGCTCTGCATCCTTCACGTAATGGGTTTTCATAGCAAATTATGTAGTTCCTGTTTCACTGACTGACACATTGAGGCCAGGGAAAAGTCAGAGACATGAGTTGTCAAAGCCAAGTATAGGGCAGTGCCGTATCTGATACTCAGGTCTTATGATTAATAGTCATGTGTTCTCTCCATTGGCCTGAATTGCTTCAGGTGCTTGATTCTGTAGCTTTACTGAAGGTGAAACTGAAGTCATTGTCTGGTTCAGCCTGGATGTATGAAGATGACAGATCTAATGCTACTGAGAAACGGGACACAAAAATGTTCTTGATTTGAATGGAGCTTTGCCTAGAGCACTAAATGTGCTGGATAATTCTGGGGAGCCATTTTGAGATGAATTTTTAAGTGTTCTTAATGTTTGGTCCATAGTGTAACTTCTTTGGGGGCAGAATGCATCACTTCTCAAAAGAAAAACAGGCCATTAGTCAGAGGATGCGTCTTTCGATCGCGGCTCAGAATGACTCACAGTCAAATCTCTGGGCCACGTAGACTATTCTGCAAGTTCTGCATTTCCCCTCAAGGAGACCACCCCACATTGCCCACAATTTAGAGATAAATGAAAATAAAGGATAATAAATACTACCCGGTTTTGAGCGGAATTTCTCATATTTAAATAGCATGCTTCCATAAATTCATTCTTTTGAGAAATATTCTGTTAATCGGTGTCTTCTTTTGCTTCATTTTTTCGCTCTTGGATTTAACACCATACATTGATCTAAGACGTGTCCATTATTAATGATATATGCCAAGGAGAGAAGAGAAAAGGGCAATTTGTTTTATGTGAGGCTAGTTTTTATTTTAATTTTGTCAAACTCATCCTTTTATGTGCTTAGCCTCTATAGGACTCAGTGTTTTCTCAGATCTTCCCCCCACTACACACACACCACGGGCTCCTGGGCCCTCGCGAGAATCTGTACTTGTTCGCCTCGCAGGGCCGTGTGGGTGACTAGTCAGCACCCGTCAGCACTGATTGGGTGAAGCTCAGTCCATGTGGGTCCTGACCTGTGGGCGCTGGAGGGCAGGCGGGGCTGCAGAGGAAAAGCAGGGCTCCCTGTGTGCTCGCAGGTCGCCACAAGCGCTTAGCCCAGCTCCAGTCGTCTTCCAAGCGGAACCCGCACTACCAGACCCTGGAGAGGGACCTCATCGAATTCCAGGAGCAGCAGCTCTTTGAACTTTTTGTGGTGGTGTCTCTCCAGAAAAAGCCGGCGGGAACAAGCTACGTTCCCCAGGTCACGCAGCAGTTCCCTAGCAAGGTAGGTGCGGGGACACCGAGAGGCATTCAGGAATGTTCTCAAGGCTCTGTGGGTGTTTAATCTCCACTCTTCTTTCTGCTGTGATCTCAAGCGGCTGTTACTGACACCCTACCTCTTGTAGGGTCTGGCACGTGGCTTCGGTGACCTCTCACGTCTGGCCTGAGCTGCAAACCAGAGCAGGAACTCATTATCCAAACTGTTTTTTTTAATTTTTGCTCTGCTGTTTACTAAATGCCCTTTAGGTAGCTGCAAAGCCTCAGTTTTCTCCTTCGTGGTGAGGGGAACAAGAAATACGACAGAACGGGGGAGCAGTTTAGAGCATGGACTCTCAGCCAACTCTCTGCACCTGCCGCTAAGTAGCTCTGTGACTTTGAGCAGTTACTTAACGGCTCTGTGCCTTGGTTTCTTCATGTGTAAAATGGAGGTAATCACAGTAATGTCTATCCCTTTGAATTGCAGGGAGGATTAAATGAGCTAATCCATTATTAGCGAGGGTTTAATAAGATAATGTATTTTAAGTGCTTAGCACAGGGGTGCCTGGGTGGCTCAGTCGGATAAGCATCCGACTTCAGCTCAGGTCATGATCTTACGGTGTGTGGGTTCGAGCCCTGCATCGGGCCCTGTGCTGATGGCTGGCTCAAAGCCTGGAGCCTGTCTTCGGATTCCGTGTCTCCCTCTCTCTCTGACACTCCCCTGCTCATACTGTCTCTAACTCTCTCTCTCTCTCAAAAAATAAATAGAACATTAAAAAAAAAAGTGCTTAGCACAGTTCCTGGCACACGTAAGCACTTTGTATATGGTAGCTGTTATTAACAAATACTATTTGATTTTCTCTGTCTTGTGCTTGAGGGGGCATAACATTAAAGAGCAAACAGAAACCCCACTGTAGGTTGAGAGGGAAGCCACAGAAGAAAAGAAAAAGTTTTCTATCTTATTTTGTATTTAATTTTTCCTGCTTTTTGAACAACGGGTCCACAGTTTCATCTTGCAGCTGGTAAGGAGTGATCCCTTTAAATGAGGAGTTTACTCACTCTCCATCCAAATACTTGGCCGCTTCTCTTATTTATCTGCCCAGCTGCTTTAGGACTTGGGATTTAAACCCCGAGTTAGGTGTTTCACCAAAAAAAGCTAGTGGAGCACAGCTGTACTGGAATGGAATTCAAGAGACATTTCCTGAGCAAGTTCTTATTAAGAAAAAAAAAAAAAAAGTGCTGGGGCACCTGAGTGGCTCAGTCGGTTAAGCTTTTGACTTTGGCTCAGGTCATGATCTTGTGGTTTGTGGATTCGAGCCCTGCATTGGGCTCTGCACTGGCAGTACGGAGCCTGCTTGAGATTTTCTCCCTCTCTTTCTCTGCCCCTTCTCTGCTTGCTCTTTCTCTCTCTCTCTCTCTCTCTGAAAAATAAATAACCTTAAAAAAATGTGCTCAACAAATTCCTACTGTAAACAAAACAGTGTTTAATTTTGTATAAAATTCTTCAGTGCAGCCTGAGAGCCACAATGTCACTGCACTAACCATGGAAGTCTAAAATGGTGTAATCCAGACAGTCTTTTTTTTTTTTAATTTTTTACATTTATTTATTTTTGAGTGACAGAGGCAGAGCACAAGTAGGGGAGGGACAGAGAGAGAGGGAGACACGGAAGCTGAAGCAGGCTCCAGGCTCTGAGCTGTCAGCAAGAACCCATGAACCATGAGATCATGACCTGAGTTGAAATAGGACGCTTAACCAACTGAGCCACCCAGGCGCCCCCTAGATAGTCTTGAAGAGTCAAATTTCCCATAAAGAGGACCTTAACTTTTTTTTTCCCGATTTTCAATCAGTCTTACCTTTGCAGAGAAAAATCTCGAGATTGACCCTGTTTTTAACAAAGCCTGAATTAATGGACTCAGAACCAGAGAAGGACCCAGTGACTCTGGCAGTGATTCAGGGATGTTTCTGAGCGAATTACATAGCATCCTTGTGCCTGAGGCTCCCATAAGTTAGGGAGGGAAAGAGCTTACCAAGTCTCTCCTGATTGTGTTATGGAAAACCACAAATGAAGATGATTCCAAGTCATTTAGCAATATAAAAATAAGAGAATGTGAGACAGCTACAATTTTGTTAGAATGCTTTTCCATTTCTGAAGAGCTCAGTGAATATCTAGGTGACTCAGAATGGCTGCACGTTTTGTTTCAGAAATTAAATTAAAGGATACATCGTTTGTATTAGGTACATGAAGGTAATGTGGCTGTTAGACTTCTCTGCTTGTTTTCATACTAACTTTTAAATGCCTTTTGGTTTAACTAAATTTAGATTGTTCTTTTAAGTGTGATACCAGACTTGCGCAAAAAGGCCTTCCACGCTAAAATTTTACAGGAAGTTGCAAACCAGTAATTAGTTAGCAAAGATTGTATGCTAAGGGAAATGATTATATATGGGGTAGATACTAAAAATAGCATTTTCTCTAAATAACATTCAAAACATCTTTGATTATTGATCAGAGAGCATCTGACGCTAACTGGGCTTTTGCTATCAGTATACTATAGAATAGATTTTTATTTTATGTCCTGTGATTGATTAAAATATTGGGTTTCCACTAGTATGTGAATCCTGAATTAAGATTCCACCTCTAGACTAGGAACTATTTTCAGTCACCCCTCTCACATCAGATTATAGGATCTCTGCAAGTAACCACTTCTATGTAAAAATAGGATTCTTTATTCTTAGTAACTGTGTTCTCAGTGTATCTTCAGTGATTACTGGCCTTGGCCTTCCTGTTGTGTGAAATAACACTAAAGCATGCTGAGATAACTATTTAGGCTTATCAGAGACCTCTTTTCCCGTGACTGGGCTGTTTTATGTATATAGTCTCTGCTTACATAGACTACTAGTCACCTATAAATGTTCTCTTTTTCAGGGTGATCATGGCTTTAAGCAGTCCAAAGACACAGAAGAAAGGCTCAAAGTCATTCCCAAGTTTTGTTTTCCTGACTCAAAGGACTGGGTGCCAACCTCAGAACTCAAGAGGTAAATGGGTTCCTTAATCTGATTTCTTATTTTTGGAACTGCAAAAATAGAATGTTTGAGAAAGGGGTAGAGCCAGCAGTATAAGCTCTGTGGACACCGTAGCAGGTCAAGGATGCAGTGGGAGGAAAGGAAGAAACAGAATTAGAACATTTCCTATGTGAGTTCCAGAAAGAAAAACATGGAATAGTTTCAGTGTCAAAGGGAAAACGAGTTTGAGAATCTCTGCAGTTGGCCAATTCTGCGGGGAGGGGTTGGGGGAGGTGGGAGTTCCGTTTTCTATACAATCAGAAATGCCACCAAGTGGACAGAAAAGGAAAAAAGGTTCAAGCTCAGGAACCCTAGTTAGGAGATAAAACAGAGCTATGTCGGCACCTTGTTTCTCCTCCAAGTGGACGGAGCCACAGCCCAGATTGTCCACTCCCCTGTGGACCTTGTCCAGACGGAGGCTCCAGACTGGGAGGTGTGGGCACATTGAGAAGGGAAGGTAAAGAATTTCTTTCCAGGATCTCAAGGGAAACTATATTCAGTTCATAAATGGTCATCCTCTCTGAACCCTGCTTGTAAGCAGACAACTGCTTTGTTCAGAGCTGTAATTAGTGGCCGTGCTATTTAGGCTGCAAAGCATGATTCTGGAACTGTGTCACATGCAGATGACCCCAGAGGAGAGCCTTGGCCACGGCCTCCATGCCTGCTCTGCCCTCACACCTCACGTTGCCTCCGGCCTGAGCTGCGGTCTCTCCGCACCAGTTAGGCCTGGCTGTCCTCTCGGAGCCACCAGTCCTGATGGTCTTAAGCCGTCAGGTGCACCGCTGACTGCACAGGCTGCGTCTTTTGTGATGGTCTGGCCACTTCATAGCTGGCTTTTCTGCCCAACGAGTTCTATGGGGTTCTTTCTGGAGCATGTGGAAAATACAGAGGAGTAAATAAAGAGCAGAAGTTATAAGTCACTGGCATTCTGGCACTCAGAGATATTAACTAAATATTTTGGCATATTCTCTTTCCAGCTTTATTTTTGGCCGTACATCGATATATGTATTCATTGCTCAAACATGGATTTCTTGGATTATTAATGAATTTCTTTCTTGGACTTCTTTTTGTAAACTATGCAGATCTTTTTTTTTTTAATGCATGTGTATGGGGTTTTTTTTGTTTTTTTTTTCCAGAGAGAGAGAGAGCACTCAAGAGTGGGGATGGGCAGAGAAAGACAGGGACAGAGGATCTGAAGCGGGCTCCATGCTGATAGCACAGAGCCCGATGTGGAGCTTGAACCCACAAACTGTGAGATCACAACCTGAGCGGAAGTCAGACGCTTAACCAACTGAGCCCCCCGGGCGCCCATCTATGGAGATCTTTTGCTTGTTTCCAGTGTGGAGTTGATAATTTTCTCACCAACTTTTATAGTTAAGGATATAACCTTTTGCCTATCACCACCATTCCATAGGACCTCTGTGAACTAAATAGAAGAACGGGGGAGGGAAATTACCTTTCTTAAATGTTAGACTCTATCGGATATTCACTAAAGGGAAAATAGGCTTGATTCATAGCTGGACTGGAAAAATAAGAAAGGAAAAGGCAGTGGCATCAGAGGTTCATTCTGTGCATCCTCTCTCAGCACACACAGTGCAAGGCAAGATGTTCTCAGGCCTGGACATCCTCCCTCAGGAGGAAGGGGACTTGCCATGTAGTATTAATGCTCCCTCATACATCACAAAATGACTGCTGCTGGACACTAATTTTAAAGTGTTTGCTCTGGGGCACCTGGGTTGCTAAGTCAGCTAAGTGTCCCACTTCAGCTCAGTTCATGAGTTCAAGCCCCACGTCGGGCTCAGAGCCTGCTTGGGATTCCCTCCCTCCCCCCTACTCTCTTAAAACAAGTAAATAAACAAACAATTAGTTTGTTCCATGAAGAATGTAATAATTGTTTAGATCTCAAACTATTGACTGTTTTTTCCAGTGAAACATTCTCCTTTGTCTTAACTGGTGAAGATGGGAGCCGCTGGTTTGGCTACTGTAAGAAGCTCTTGGTAAGTCCCAGGTTGTTCAGCAGGCAGGGCTGGCCAAGAAGCCAGCGAGTCCCGGGGCACCTGGCTGGCTCAGTCGGAAGAGTGCACAACTCAACTCTTGATCTCAGGGTCATGAATTCGAGCCCCATGTTGGGTGTTAGATTCCTTAAAAAAAAAAAAAAAAAAAATACACAATAGAGTCAGACTAGGAACTTCAGAAACCCTATTTCTAGGGGGGTTGAGGGCTGCGCAATCATCCGTGTATTACAGAAGCCGTGTTAGCTTTAAATAGTAAGAGCAAGGTTAGAGTTAGCCATGAGTGTCCCAAAATAAGGAGAGTGTGTGGACTTCTTTTATTTACTTGCTTGTTTGCACTCGACGAAGAAACCAATGACAGAGTGGTGAAATACTAGCCTGGGCGTGCAATGAGCTAATCGCGGGAGCTTGGGGTTACTTTCTTCTTGTTTCTGTGCTTCCACTAAACCTGGAACAAATCTGCTATCATTTTTTTTTTAAGCATTTTCCCATCTTTCAGGGCTCATTGGGAATGAGAGCCTTGGTTCCTGCTCTGTACTAAAGAGTACTAAGAGAGTATTAATCGTTCAAATTAACAAAGCCTCGTGCTGCTTCATTTTTGCTCTGGTGCGTTTTCTTTTAGCCAGAAGGCAAAGGGAAGCGACTTCCTGAGGTGTACTGCATGGTTAGCCGCCTCGGCTGCTTCAACCTTTTTTCCAAGGTGAGTGCAGAATAGCCCTGGGGGAGGTGCTGTGCTTTCGGGGCCCTGAGTGAGTTTTGTTTCCGGTGAGTTCACTGGGCTATGTTTCATGACACACACTCCAACATACTACTTTAGGAGAGGTTCTCAGTAGTACATTCGAGCCACAGGTTTGAAGGCTTACATTCATCTAGTCCAGACGCTGTTGTTGAAATCTCCTGGCTTCAAGGAGAATGTAGAACTGCAAGATATCATGGTCGCTGTCCCCTTCCCTGCCCCTACCGGGGGGGGAGATGAAAAGGGGCTCCTCTTCTAAAAATGAGTGGATTGATTTGAGTAACTTTTCTTGGAGATATAAAGATACCCCCAAGAGATATGATGCCTTTAATGAACTTTCATTCGTTGCACAAGCTTATCCGTCTGCAAATCTGTCAGTGCTATTTTCTAGCCTGTGCACCGGAGTTTGGTAGTCCCTTCTGTGTTTGAACTGAGCCCCTAATAAAATAACGTACATTGCATGTGCAGATTCTGGATGAAGTAGAGAAGAGACGGGAAATGTCTCCAGCCCTGGTTCACCCGTTCATGCGCAGTGTCATGGAAGCCCCCTTCCCAGCTCCGGGGCGCACCATCACAGTCAAGAGCTACCTCCCTGGGGCTGGTGATGGGGTAAGTTAGCTCATTTTGAAAAGGCTTGACGGCCACCAGAAAGCAGGCCTTACACTAATAGGCAGAGTTCCCAGAAGTTTCCCTTTTCCATAACTGTGCGGGAAAGTTTTAGTACCAGAAAACACCGAAGAAATATCCAGTTGTGAGACCTTGTGAGTTAATCCAGTTTTAAGATAGTTGATCCTACACCCAGGAGCCAGAGGTTTTCTGCCTTTCTTAGATTGAGCCCTTTTGTAACAACATCAGTGTGGTAAATGATGATTATACATGCTGTTGTCTGGTAAAATAAAAGATTTTAGCAGAAACTTACAGTGTGAAAATGAGGTATTGTGGGGCACTAGCTGGCTCAGTCAGCAGAGCACGCGACTCTTGATCTCAAGGTTATGATTTTGAACCCCATGTTGGGCATAGAGATTACTTAAAAAATAAAATCCTTTAAAAAAATAATTGGTGGGGGGCTTCTGGGTAGCTCAGTCGGTTAGGCGTCCAACTTCGGCTCAGGTCATGATCTCACGGTTCGTGGATTCGAACCCCGCGTTGGGCTCTGTGCTGGCAGCTCAGAGCCTGGAGCCTCTTCAGATTCTGTATCTGTCTCTCTCTCTGACCACCCCTCCTCACACTGTCTTTCTCTCTCAGAAATAAATAAAACATTAAAATTTTTTTAAAAATTAGGTGCTAGGTCTTGGGATTAGTGTAGGCAGCTTCACAAACTCTGTAGCAAAAGCTTTTTCCCGAATTTCCCCTGTAAAAGAATGACAGGATCCATTAATGGTGTCACTATAGATTGCCTTCCAACCTGAACTCCCCTGATTCACATTCTTCCGTTTCAGTCTATTGAACTCTGCCGACCCCTGGATTCCCGACTAGAACACGTCGACTTTGAATGTCTCTTTAAGTGCCTGAGCGTATGCCATCTCATCCGGGTGTGTGCCTCCCTCCTTTTGGAACGGAGGGTGATCTTTGTTGCCAACAGCCTCAGGTGAGAAATTTGCAAAATATGTCGCTTCCTACTGGTGATTCACCAGTTCTCACTCTCTTAAAATTTGGTAATTTAAAAAAGCTATAGGGTCTCAGGTACCTGATGTCATAGCGACGTGGATAATTCCAAACGGTCAGTAATCCAAAGCTATTTGCATTAGGCTCGAGCCGTCCCTTTGGGATTGCAGTGAACTTATCTCTCTAAAGGCACTTTGCTTAACCGTTATTAAAAATTCACATTGTTGGAATGAATAAGTCACGGAATAAAAGGCACACCACAGGGAATACCGTCAATGATATTGGTGACAGGTGGCAGCTCCCTAGTGAGCACAGCATGACGCACAGAGACTTGGGGTCACTGTGTTTATGCCTGAAGCCAGTGTAACATTGGTGACGCCTGAAACTAACGTAACATTACTGTAGCGTGTCAGCTAGACGCAAAAAATTGGCATTGCTTTTCTAAGTGCACATTAATTTCTAGCAACACAAATTATGGGAAAGAGCTGGTGAAGACTAAAACTTTTCTGTAAATTAAGTTAAAATGTAAATAAAATGTCAAAAATTAATGCGTTGGCACAGAATCGTTCCTCTGGGACCACTGCCCGGGGTCAGGTAACCACTGCCCGGGGTCAGGTACTCCTGTAACATGCTGTCTGAACCATTCTCCATGTGTTGCTCAGTGCGTCACACCATTTGCTTTCTTCCCTGGCCAGCACCCTGTCAAAGTGTGGCCATGCGGTGGTAGCCACGCTGTACCCGTTCACCTGGCAGCACACCTACATCCCAGTCCTGCCGGCATCCATGATTGATATCGTGTGCTCGCCCACTCCGTTCCTGATCGGAATCCTGTCTTGCTCCTTACCACAGCTCCAGGACCTGCCCACCGAAGAGGTGAGACGGGAGAGAGAGTACCTATGCGAAAGACAGGGTGCTGCAGCTGAAAGCAAATGGCCTTTAAGAGTGATGGAGGTGTCATTCGTATTGAAGCACAGTAGTCCTCTAGTATGCTACCGTGTTTTTGTATCTTTTTATTCAAGTGAGAAAAAGCCTCCAGTGCACCTGAGTCCAAAGCTGTAGGGTGCCGTGGGCTCGTTCCTGTGTTATTCCAAAGGGCAGGGCTTTTTGTGTGAGTCAAACACAAGAGCTACCCTGGGTTAACTTAAAACATTGTTTTAAATATAACACATATCTAGAGAAGTGGTCAAAACAAAATGAATTATCACCAAGTGAATGCTTACGTGACCCACACTGCAACAGAATGGAAACGTCACAGCCATGGAAACAGTGCCAGCACTTGAGAAGTCTCCCTCGGGTCGCCGCTGTCACTTTTCCCTTCCCCACCCCCATGAAAGGTGACCACTGTTTTGACCGTCGTGGTGTTTGTTTACCTGTTTTTCTTTAGAGTTTTACATCCTACCCATTTATTCCTAAAGAATGTAGTTCAACTTTGTCTGGTTTTTAGCCAGTTATAAATGGACTCATATGCAGTGTATAGACATACATATTTTGTCTGAACACTGTGTCTGTAGGATTCATCCCTGTGGATGAGTGTATCAGCCATTCCAGTGTTCTAATGGTGCGTATTATTCCATTGTGTGAATACCCATCCTACAGTTGAGGGACACTTGAGTTCTTTCCAGGTTAAGGGACTCCAAATAATGCCGCTATAAGTATTCATATGCATGATGACCCTTGGTCCATATGTGCATGCAATTCTAGGGTATATACTTAGAAATGGAATTGCTGGGATAAGCATATCTTCAACTTCAGCAAATGAGATCAAACTGTTTTCCAGAGTAGCTGTGCCCCGTTAAACCCCCTCCACCAGTGGGTGAGCCTTCCCGTTGTTCCACACCCTCCTGACACTTCTTCTCATCAGTATGTATAATGTATCGTGCCTGGTGAATGTGGAGTGGTGTTCTCATTGTGGTTTTATTTGCTTTTCTTGATTACTGTTGGGGGTGTGCATCTTTATTGGCCGTTTGAATATCATCTGTTATAAAATTCATTGTCTTTCTACTGGATTGTCTACCCTCAGTGATTGGTAAGGGGTATTTTTATATTCTGGATATCAGCCTCTTTGCGGCATGCCTTTTTATTCTCTAAAATGCTGTTCTGAATGCACAGAAGTTCTTAATTTTAATGTAGTCATAATTATCAGTCTTTTCCTTTATGGTTTGTGTGGAGTCTTATCGTCTTATCTTATCTTATCTTATCTTATCTTATCTTATCTTATCAGCAGAGTCTGACGCAGGGCTTGAACCCATGAGAGCTGTGAGATCATGACCAGAGCCAAAGTCGGAGGCTTAACCGACTGAGCCACCCAGGTGTCCCTGTGCCTTTAGTTTTTTATTTTTTGTACATGATAGGAGGTAGGGGGTTATTTTTTTTTTAATAAGGACAGTGAACTATACTAATAACATTTATTGGGAAGATTGCTCTTCCCCATTACTCTGCTACATTAATCCCCCCTCTTTTATATTGAGCTATAATTGATATACAGCATTGTATTAAGGTTAAAGTGTACAACATAATGATTTTACATATGTAAATACTATGAAATGGTTACCATAATAAGTTACACCTCACATAATTACAATTTCTTGTTCTTGTGATGAGAACTTTTAAGACCCACTCTCTTAGCAACTTTCAAATACACACTACAGTATTGTTAAGTATAGACACCATGCTGTGTGTTACACCCTAGGGCTGCTTTATCTTATAACTGGAAGTTTGTGCTTTTCTTTTTTTTTTTATGTTTTTATTTATTTCTAGGAGAGAGAAAGAGAGACAGTGTGAGCAGGGGAGGGTCAGAGAGAGAGGGAGTCACAGACTGAAACAGGCTCCAGGCTCTGAGCTGGCAGTCAGCACAGAGCCCGACGTGGGGCTCGAACCCACGAACCGCAAGATCATGACCTAAGCGAAAGTCGGACGCTTAACTGACTAAGCCACCCAGGCGCCCCTGGAAGTTTGTGCTTTTTTGACCACCTTCACTCATTTCGTCCATCACCTACCCTCCACCTCTGGCAGCCACCAATCTGTTCTTTGTATCTATGAGTTCAGTTTTTTTTTAGAGTCCACATGTAAGTGAGATCATACATTATTTCTTTTTCTCTGCCTGACTTATTTCACTTAGGATCATACGTTCTACGTCCATCCGTGTGGCCACAGGATTTTTTTCTTTTTTATGGCTGAATAATATCCCATTGTATATATCTACCACATCTTCTGTATCTATTCATCCACCAATGGACACTTAGGTTTTGTCCATGTCTTAGCTTCTGTAAATAATGTTGCAGTGAACGTGAGTGCACATATCTCTTCAGGAGAGTGATTTGATTTTTATTGGGCATATGCCTGGAAGTGGGATTGCTGGATCATGGTAGTTTTGGTTTAAATTTTTTAAGGACTTCAATACTGTTTTCTGTAGTGTTTGCATCAATATACAGTCACATCAGTAGTACACAGGTTTCCTTTTTCTCCAGCCTTTGTTATCTTTTGTCTTTTTGATAACAGCCATTCTAACAGAGATGATGTGATGTCACAATGTGGTTTTGATTTGCATTTCCTTAATGATCAATGATGCTGAGCACCTTTCCATGTGCCTGTTGGCCAATTTGCATGTCTTTGGGAAAATGTCTATTCAGTTCCTCTGCTCATTTTTTTTAAAGTAAACTCTACACCCAGTCTGGGTCTCGAACTCATGACCCCAGGATCAAGAGTCACATGCTCCACTGACTGAGCCAGCCAAGTCACATGATGCTCTTCTGCTTGTTTTTAATAGGATTATTAGTTTTTTGTTTGTTTTAGTTTTTGGTCACTGTTGGTTTTGTTTTGTTATGTTTTGTGCCATTGAGTTGTATGAATTCTTTATGTATTTTGGATATTAACCCTTTATCAGATATATAATTTGCAAATATTTTCTCCTACTTTGTAAGTTTCCTTTTCATTTTATTGATGGTTTCCTTTGCTGTGCAGAAGCTTTTAGTCTGATGTGCCCCTGCTAGTTCAGTTTTTGTTTTTGTCTTTGCTTTTGGTGTCAAATCCAAAAAATTCATTGCCCAAACCAGTGTCAAGATGCTTACCCTTTATGGTTTCAGGTCTTAATTCAAGTCTTTACTCCAATTTGAGTTGATTTTTTTTTTAAGTTTATTTGGTTTGGGCTGGGGGTGGGGTGCAGAGAGAAAGGGAGAGAGAATCTCAAGCAGGCTCCATGCTATCAGTTCAGAGCCCAACATGGGGCCGGAACCCACCAACCATGAGAGCATGACCTGAGTTGAAATCAAGTCAGACAGTTAACCGACTGAGTCACCCAGGTGCCCCATTTTGAGTTGATTTTTATGTATAAGATGGAGATCCATTTCCCTTTTTGCATGTGGCTGTTTTTCCCAACAACATTTATTGAAGAGACTGCCGTTTCCACATTGTATATTCTTGCTTCCTCTAATCTGCCTGTGCACGGGTTTATTTCTAGCCTCTGTTCTGTTCCATTGCTCTATGTGTGTTTTTATGCCAATACCATACTATTTTGATTACTGTAGCTTTGTGATACAGTTTGAAATCAGGACGTGTGATGCCTCCAGCTTTGTTATTTCTCAAGATTGCTTTGGCTATTCAGGGAATTTGGTAGTCCCATAGAAGCTTTAGCATTGTTTGTCCTATTTCTATGAAGAATACCATTGGAATTTTGATAGGGATTGCATTGAATCTGTACATTGCTTGGGGTAGTATGAACATTTTAGCAGTATTTATTCTTCTCATCTGTGAGCACAGAATAGCTTTCCACATTCTTGTGTTCTTCAGATTCTTTCATCAATTCTTACTGTTTTCAATATATAGATCTTTCACTTCCTTGGCTAAATTTGTTCTAATTATTCTTTTTGATACAGTTGAAAATGGGATTGATGGTGTTCTGAATTTCTTTTTCAGATAGCCCTTGTTAGTGTATAGAAACACAGCTGGGTTTTGTATTAACCTTTTTTTTTTTAAACTTTTTATTACAGAAAATTTCAAACATATGCCAAAATAAACAAAATGCTAAAATAACTCCAGTTACCCTACTTCAGCACTGACCAACTCATGGGGCCATCTTTGCCCTTACCCATACCTCTCTCCCATAACATTTTGAAGCATATCCTGATATAATTTCATTGCTAACTATTACAGTATAAATCTCTATAACACAAGGACATTTTTAACATAATCACAATACCATTATCACACCTAAAAAATTTAATAACGATTCCTTTAATATCAGCACAATACAGTGCTCAACTCTCCATTTCATAAATGTTTAATTGTTTGCATCAAGTCCCAAATAAAGTCTACCCATTGCATTTGCTTAGTATGGTTTGTCTCTTTTAATATATAGATGTGCCTGCCATCCTTTTTTTAATATTAATTCATTTTTGAGAGAGAGAGTACATGTACATGCATGACCAGGCAGAGAGAGAGGGAGAGAGAGAATCCCAAATAGGTTCCACATTGTCAGCACAGAGCCTGCTCGATCCCAGGAACTGCAAGATCATGAGTCGGAGGCTTAACCGACTGAGCCACCCAGGTGCCCGAGATGAGTTAACTTTTTAAAAAAAATTTTTTAATGTTTGTTTTTTGAGAGACAGAGAGTGTGAGTGGGGGAGGGGGAGACAGAATCCAAAGCAGGCTCCAGGCTCCGAGCTGTCAGCACAGAGCCCGACATGGGGCTTGAACTAATGAATCTTGAGATCATGACCTAAGCCAAAGTCGGCTGCTCAACTGACTGAGCCACCCAGGCACCCCAAGATGAGTTAATTTATCTGGTTTAACTTACCTGGCTCCTTTATCCCATAGGTGCTGATAGTTGATCTCTGTGCAGACAAGTTCTTACAGGAGGTAAGTGACAAATGAGGTGATTACATAATATTTGGGGATAATTGGACAGAAAATATGTGAAAGTACTTAGAGAAGATGACTAAGGCAGGACTTTTTGTTCCTACACATACTGAGACTGTGGCCATTCATACAAGATTGACCTGAAAAATTGGGTTTGGTTTATAACTATCTCTCCTAAAGAAGGAAGGAGGAAAGAGATTAAATGTCATTGTCAAAAGAGGTAACCCTCCTTTGACATCCAGATGGGCTGATGTATAAGGCTCTGATTTCATTGACTTTAACAAGCATTCAACATTAATTATGTCTAGATACTCTGTTAGTCAGAATCTAAAGGTAAGAAGCAGTTTGAGCCTCTCAGACCTTAGGATCTAACAATGAGAAAGGGAGTGGACATATGTATAAAGTTTTAGAAATGGCATAATAGAAATTTCCACAGGGTACAGTAGGAGCAGAAAAAAATAAGTCCTCTATTCTGGGTCTTGAAAGTGGAAGGGAGAGAGAGTGAAGCCTGCTTGGGGCAGCGCTCTGTATGTAGCCTGCATGGAAGTGTGTGAGCTTTGAGCACAGGGTAAGAAGGATGTTTCCCAAGACTTTGTCTCTTTTCTAAGCATTTGAAATACTGTTTATTTCTGGATGGTCTTTGTAATACAGCATAGGACTTGTAGATATTTGATTGAAAGGTGCCAGAAAATGTCATAGAATGTATTATCTATTTTTTTAAATACAGTTACTTGTACCATAAACATCTTGAATTCTGCTGAATGTAGGGAAAGAAGGTTCAGGCCGAGTCTTTAGCCAAAATCTATGCAGAATCACCGGTGGCATTTTGGGGATTTAACTGGTGTATGTTTGAGATTTTCTCTCTCAAAGGTCCTGAAAAATCTCAATCTTGTCTCTTAAGGTATCTGATGAGGACGAAATTCTACCTCCTAAACTCCAAGCTGCCTTGATGCAGATTTTGGAAGAACGAGACGAAATCTTGGCTCAGGAGCAGAATTTTTCACAAGGTAGGAGACGAATGATCCGAGGACTTAAAGCCAAGGCAGTGGTTACTCACTGAATGCCTAGCGCCCTGCTGAAGGATGCACAGAAATATGAGGTTGCCTACGGTGTGAAAGGCTTGTAAACCCCTTGCTGACCCTGAGGTGCCGGTCCCCTTCCATTTCAGTACTTTTACACTTGCTTGTTTCAATTCAGGGAATGCTGTTCCCCTAGATAATCCACACGGCTCATGCTGTTTTCCCCACAGGTCTGTGCTCAGATCACTTTCTCAGTGAGGCCTTTCCTGGCTGTCCTTTTTATTTATTTTTTAACGTTTTACTTATTTTTGAGAGAGAGAGAGAAGAGGATCCACAGAAGAGAGGGGGAGGGGGTAGAGAGAGAGGGAGACAGAGGACCCGCAGGGGGCTCTGTGCTGACAACAAGCCAATGTGGGGCTAGAACTCATGAGCCAAAATAGGAAGCTGAACCGACATGAGCCACCCAGGCGGCCCCTGACTGTCCTTTTTAAAATTGTACCCACTCCCTCAGGGCTCCCTATCCTTCTCCCTGACCTTAGTTTTCCCCCAGGGCTTTTATCACCATCTGATGTACTAGAAATGTAAGGTCCATGAGAGCAGCAATGATCTGTTTTGTTTTATCTCCAGTACTTGAACAATAGTCAGAAAGTAGGTACTCCATAAATATTTGTTGACTAAATGGGCTTACTGAGTGGCTTACTGTGTCCCAGGCCTTGAGCTCAGCACTTAGCATATGTCTTTTTTTTTTTTTTTTTTACAAATAGTTTATTGTCAAGTTGGTTTCCATATAACACCCAGTGCTCATCCCCACAAGTGCCCTCCTCCATGCCCATCACCCCCCTCCCCCCCACACCCATCAGTCATCAGTTTGTTCTCAGCATTCAAGAGTCCCTCATGGTTTGCCTCTCTCCCTCTCCCCCACCATTTCCCCCCTTTTTCTCCCCCATGGTCCTCCCCCGTTACGTTCCTCCCCCATGGTCCTCCCCCGTTACGTTCCTCCTAATCCTCCTATACGTGCAAACATGATATTTGTCCTTCTCTGCCTGACTTATTTCGCTCAGCATAACACCCTCAAGGTCCATCCATGTTGCTACACATGGCCAGATTTCATTCTTTCTCATTGCCATGTAGTATTCCATTGTATAGATAAACTACATCTTCTTGATCCATTCGTCTGTTGATGGACACTTAGGCTTTTTCCATGTTTTGGCTATTGTTGAGAGTGCTACTTAGCATATGTCTTATTCATAACATCCTCGTAATGTCCTTATGAAGCAGGTATCACTATTTAATCCCCATTTTACAGATGAGAAAACTAAGGCTGTTTACTGATGGAGAATCTTCAGGGAGGAGCAGCTTTAGAGAAATAATTAAAAGTTCAGTTTTGAATATTGAGATACCTACTGGATATCCAATACATAGCAGATACTCAACTAGAGATATCAAGTAGATGTTTATTTTTTTAATGTTTGTTTATTATTTTCTTTTTGAGAGAGAGAGAAGGAAAAAGAGAGAATATGAGCAGGGGAGGGGCAGAGAGAGAGGGGAACAGAGGATCTGTTCAATTGACAGCAGCGAGCCCAATGTGAGGCTTGAACTCACCAACCGTGAGATCGTGACCTGAGCTGAAGCCAGACTCCCAACCAACAGAGCCACCCAGGCGCCCCCCAAGTAGGCATTTATATACATGAATTTGGGAGTCAGCTTTGAACTAAAGACATACGTTTAGAATTTGCTATTTTAAAGCTATGGGACCAGATGAGATAACTCTATAGAGTGAGCATACATAGAAAATAACAGATCTAAGGATTGAACCCTGTGTTGGCCGGGAACGCTGTGGTCAGATTTCCAGTGTTCCTGGCAGTAGGGAAGAGAGGGATCCAGCACAAGGAGACTACAAGAGCAGCTACTGAAGAGAATCAGCCAGGGGAGGAATATTACAGAAACTGAGGGAAGAGAGTATTTCACAAAGGAAAGTAAACAGTATGTCTAATGCTACGAAGAGGCCACGTCAGAGGAAGACTGAGGATTGACTGGCAGGTCTGACAATGGGAAGGGCTTAGCGACCTTGGTGGCAGCACATTCAGTGAGATGGTGAGAAGGAAGTGAGATTGGGGAAGGGTCAAGAGAGAATTGGAATGGCATTCAGCTTTTTATAAAATTAAAAAAAATTTTTTTTAATGTTTATTTTTGAGAGTGAGAGAGACAGACAGAGTGTGAGTGAGGGAGGAGCAGAGAGAGAGAGGGAGACATAGAGTCCAAAGACAGGCTCCAGGCTCCGAGCTGTTAGCACAGAGCCCATCGCAGAACTTGACCTCACGAACTGCGAGATCATGACCTGAGCCAAAGTCGGATGCTTAACTGACTAGTCACCCAGGCACCTCAGCTTTTTGTAAAATTTTAATGGAATTACAAAGGGCCAAGAATAATTAAGACACTCCTGTAAAAGACCAACATTGAAGGCGCTGCCCAATAAAACATCGATTAATCAGAAAGCCCTAGTAAAAGATCGTTTGGTTTTGGTTCAGAAAATAAACAGCAAGGGAAAGAAAGAATGGAAACTGCATAAGCGTAAGGAAACTTAATTTGTGTCAGCACCAGCATGGCCTATCAGCAGGAAAAGAATGAACCATTCAGTAAACAATATGAGGGCAACTGGTTTTCCATATGAAAAGAAATGAATATGATCTATACCTCAATCTGTACATAAACTAAGTCTGATGAATTAAAGATTTAAATGTTAAAAGTAAGAGGGGGTCCTGGGTGGTTCAGTCTGTAGACGGTGCAGTTCTTGATCTCAGGGTCGTGAGTTCAAGCCCCATATTGGGCACTGAGCCTACTTCAAAAAAAGCTGTAAATGTTAAAAGTAAAACATGAAATGTCTAGAGAAGAATAGAATAAAATATTTTGGGGGAACCTGGGTGGTTAAGTCGGTTGAGCATCCGAGTCTTGTTTTCAGCTCAGGTCATGACCTCACGGGTTCATGAGTTGGAGCCCAATACTGGGCCCTGTGCAGTCAGCACGGAGTCCCCTTGGGATTTCTCTCCCTTTGCCCCTCCCCCACTTGTGTGCATACACATTCTCTCTCCCTCAAATAAATAAATAAACATAAAATATATATATTTTATGTGTTGGGACAGTAATGGATTTCTTAAGTGTGGCACAAAGAACAGGAACCATAAAGTAAAAGGTTGATTAATTTGAAACTTAAGTTGTTTAAATCCATTTATTAAGGGTCACCATGGAAAAGGACTATAAAACAAGCTACAAACTAGGTGAAGATATTTTCAGCAAATGTAACTACTAAAAGAATAGTATTCAGAACTTAATTTTTAAATTCCTACAATTCAGTAGTTAAAAGATGAACAACTTGGGGGTGCCTGACTGGCTCAAGCCAGTAGAGTGTGCAGCTCTTGATCTCAGGGTCATGAGTTCAGGCCCCACACTGGGTGTAGAGATTACTTAAAAATAAAATCTTAAAAAAAAGATGGACAACGCAATAGAAAAATGAGGGAAAGATATGAACAATCATTTTATAGAAGAGGAAACGTGAAAGGCCAAATATATGAAGAGAGGTACAGCCTCATCAAAATCAGGGAAATGTAAATTAAAACCATAGTGAGATACCATTTTATACCCACCATATTGTTACAATTTAAAAAGTCTGACAATACCAGGCATTGAGGATAATGTGTAAATTACTTCAACTGCTTTGGAAAAACAATTTGGCATCATCTAGTAAAATTAAAGGTGTATATATCCTGGGGCGCCTGGGTGGCTGAATCGGTTGAGTGTCCTACTTCGGCTCAGGTCATGATCTCATGGTCCATGGGTTTGAGCCCCACATCGGGCTCTGTGCTGACAGCTCAGAGCCTGGAGCTGCTTCAGATTCTGTGACTCCTTCTCTCTCTGCCCCTTGCCTGCTCACGCTCTGTCTCTGTCTCTCTCAAAAATAAACAAACATTAAGAAAGAGATTTTTAAGGTGTATATATCCTATAACCTGACAGTTCAATTTTAAGATATACATCCTAGAGGGGCGCCTGGGTGGCTCAATCGGTTAAGTATCCGACTATGGCTCAGGTCATGATCTCATGGTTCGTGGGTTCGAGCCCCACCTCAGACTCTGCTGACAGCTCAGAGCCTGGAGCCTGCTTCAGATTCTGTATCTCCCTCTCTTTCTGCCCCTCCCCTGCTCATGCTGTCTCTCTCTCTCTCTCAGAAATAAATAAAACATTAAAAAAAAAAAGATATACATCCTAGAGAAACTCTTAAACATGATAATTAGGAAACAAGTAAATCGTTTCCATACATTGTATGTGATAGCAAAACTGTGCATTGACAGGAGAATCTCGCCTTAGGAAAAGCCTCCTACAAACATATATTGAATAAAACAGTAAGTTGCAGAAGAAAATGTTTTACATAATGTTCAAAAACGTACAAGAACCTAATCGTGCGTTGCTGGGGCTGCCTGTGTGTACAGAGGAACTGTGATCTCAAGTTACGGGACCGATAAATATAAAATTGCAGAGAACTGTCACCCTCTTTTGGAGAATAGGGGAAGAACACTTCAGAGAGGGCATCTCACAGGGAGCTTCAGAGATACCCCTGATGTTCTGTTTTAAACTTTGGGGTCGGTCCTGGTGTGTTCATTTCACTGGTGGCCTTATGATATGTTTATACATGTAAAAGAATACATAAACCGTATACATTAAAACAAAGAATTGAAGATAAGTTATAGAAAAGCATAAGCTTTAGAACAAAGGGAAAGGGTCTTTAAGAAAGGGTCAACAGGTATAAACAATTCTTGAAAAGTTTTGCTGTAAAGTGGAAGAGAAATGGGACAGTGCCTGGAAGGGATGGGAGCCTGGGGCAAAAGTGTTGACGATAAAAGCAGTGATGGACCGTGGATTCTCAGCTGTAGAAGGGAAGCGATGAGAAGGAGGTCTGTTGAACAAAATATTTTAAAAATCCACTTTATACTCAGTGTAATACCAGAAGAGACATTAGCGATCACCTAATCAGCCACCTCATTGTACAGATATGGAAAAAGAGGCCATGGGGGGTAAAGCAACTCGCCTGCCATTATATCGCTGTGTCATGGTAGAACTCTGACCAAACCTAGGCCTCCAATTCCCAGCCCATCACGGAGGTAATGGAAAGAACAAGAGACATCATGAGGGGGGAAATATACTACTAGGTATGGAAGAAAAAGGAGGAGTCTAAGTTGAATCTGAGATTTGAGCCTGGAACCTGAAAGGCAATATATTTCATGTTATAGTCATTAAGAATCACCTGACTTGGGAGTCTGGCGACTTCTCCCTGTCCTAGATGAGATGACTCTGGAGAATGTCTTTGTTTTGAGTCTGTTTCCACAGCTGTAAGAAGGAAATAATACCTGGAACGCCTGGGTGGCTCAGTCGGTTAAGTGTCCGACTTTTGCTTGGGTCATGATCTCGCGGTTCATGGGTTCGAGCCCCGCGTCGGGCTCTGTGCTGACTGCCAGCTCAGAGCCTGGAGCCTGTTTCAGAGTCTGTGACTCCCTCTCTCTCTGACCCTCCCCTGCTCACGCTGTCTCTCTCTCTCTCTCCTAGAAATAAATAAAAATATTTAAAAAAAAAAAAAAAAGAAGGAAATAATACCTGCTCCACTAGATTATTACATCTATAAAAGCTCTAAATACAGTGCCTGACATATCTTAAGCCCTCAAATTATTCTGGAATAATAATGGTTACAGTATGGAATGGGAAAGTTGAGAGAGAAACTGACTTGGTGGAAAAATATAGAGCATGTATTGTGTGTTTGGTTCATATTTTACCAATTTCTCAAATGGATCCAATTTGACTTTTAGACAGATAGAGTTTAAGTGGTAATGGCTCAACCAAATGATGATTACCCATCACAGTAATGGTAGGTAGGTAGCCTGGTTTCTGGTGACGAGTCAGGGCTAGAGATGTAAGGTTGAGGATTGTCAACATGGAAAGCCAGCTCAATCTCTATGCCAGTTAGCTCTTAAGGGTGGGAATGCTGAAGGGAAGTGGTCTGAGGACCATGCTTAGGAAGAGGAGGGAGAGGCAAGAGAAAAACATATATTTTGGGTCATAAAAGCAGGAGAGGAATCCAAAAAGTCAGGAGACTATAAAGCTGTGGGAGACCAGAGGAATGAGGAGGAGGGTAGCATAAATGCAGCACAGAGTTTAAAGGAGAGACGAATAGCAAAGCAGATTAAATTTGGCAGGTTCTCACTGGTGGCCTTTGAAAGAGCAGTTATAGTGAGATCACGGATATGCAAGCCCGGCTGAGAGATGTAACAAGAGTATGTGTGGGAAGAAAATGGAACTAAAAATATAAGCCATTGGCTTTTTGCAGGTCACGGAGTGTGCAGGAAGGCCACAAAGGAGAATTCTCAGTCCTTGGCTCTATAATTTCCTACACATCACTTTCATAACCATTTCCCAGAAACACAAAACTTAGGATTTTTTGCTTTCCTTCCTTCCTTCTTTTTCTTTCATTTTGCAGCAGACGTGACACTCAACTCTCTGGTGTCCGAGGCATTTGTGAGGTTTTTTGTGGAGCTAGTGGGACATTATTCTTTGAGCATGACTGTCACTGAGCGTGGGGAGCGAGTATTCCAAAGGGAACCATTCCGGAAATCCCACACCTCCCGAAGTGTACGCCACTTCCTGGACCTCTTCATGGAAACTCAGATGTTCGCAGGCTTCATCCAGGACCGAGAGCTTCGGAAAAGTGGGGTGAAAGGTCAGTTTCATCACAAAGCTATCCCTCTGTATTTAGTGAGCCCCGGGAACATTTGAAAATAATATAAACAAAAAATGGTATAAAGCTACAAGGGCTCAAAATCAAAGTTGTTATTATGGAAAATATTTATTTTATAATGTAGTTTTAGCTATGGAATCTCACTGATAGTAAGCACAGAGTTATATTTAAGTGATTTTCAGTAAGTATTGGAAAATGTCACCAACGTGAGTTATCCTTGTAGGTCTGTTTGAGGTCCGGGCCCTCCAGTATTTGGAAACAATTCCAGAGTCTGAGCCCAGTGGGATGAATAGAATTTTGCGGAGTCTTGGTGAGTTGTGTTTTCTTGTTAGATAATGTGACTAAAAAAAGCCTTTTGCAGTAAGTGTGCCTCATCACAAAAGCCTCATCATCAAATCAACAAGATGACCTCAAATACACTGAACAGACATCATGACTGTATATGGTGTTTGGGGGAAAGGGTTTGGGGGAAAAAGAAGTGGTTTTCAGAGGTCAGCCTTCTCCATCAGAGTTATCCTTGGGTCTGCTTTCTTCAGATGACATAAGAATTTGCATATCTCGAGGCGCCTGGGTGGCTTAGTCGGTTAAGCGTCCGACTTTCGCTTAGGTCATGATCTCCCGGTTCGTGGGTTCGAGCCCCGCGTCGGGCTCTGTGCTGACTGCCAGCTCAGAGCCTGGAGCCTGTTTCGGAGTCTGTGACTCCCTCTCTCTCTGACCCTTCCCTGCTCATGCTCTCTCTCTCTCTCTCTCTCAGAAACTAAAAAAAAAAAAAAAAAATTAAAAAAAAAAAGAATTTGCATATCACAATTATTAATCTTTTTTCCATCACATCACTGGGAGAATAAAAAAAATAAAAGCCGTAGATCTTTTTCCCAGAAAAGAGATGTCCTACAACATCTAATTTTACACTTCATAAAAAACACACGGAAATTTATGATTTTTCAATTATAATTCACTTTTTATTATCCTTTGTGATATTGGAGAACAGTGGTGTTGCCCCAAAACCATGAAGAACCTGTGTTCAGCGGTGTTTATATTGCCCTTTGAAATATGTACTCCCTGGTAACTAGACTTAGCATAGGGATCATTTTATAATGTATAAGAGTATCAAATCACTATGACATACACCTAAATCTAACAGGACATTGTATGTCAATTATACTTGAATACGAAAAGAAAAAGAAATATATGCCCCCAATTAATATTAGGCCTTATCGTTAACTAGCTGAGAGACCATGCACAAAGTATACCTTGAGCTGTTATTTAATCTTTATACCATGAGGTTAGATCAAATCAGTGGTTCTGAACTCTGCCTACAATGTTTTATTTATTTTTTTAAATGTTTTATTTCTGAAAGAGAGAGAGACAGCATGAGCAGGGGAGGGTCAGAGAGAGAGGGAGACACAGAATCTGAAACAGGTTCCAGGCTCTGAGCTGGCTGTCAGCACAGAGCCTGACACAGGGCTCAAACCCACGAACCGTGGGATCATGACCTGAGCTAAAGTCGGATGCTTAACCGACTGAGCCACCTAGGCGCCCCTGCCTACAACGTTTTAATCTCTGGGGAACTTAAAAGAAAATGTCCCCCACTCCAGGCTCCAAGGAATCTCTGGGGATCAGGCCAAGTGATTTTTAACCTACAGTCCAGGTTGAAAACCCCTGGATTAGGCGATGTCTGAGTTCTCTTGTATCTCTACAATTAGACCCTTGGGGTTGGTTGGTGTGTTTGGTTGGTAACCACATCACGTGACAGTTTGGGATGGCAGCTTATTCCTGGGCTGTTCTAACCCCTTTCCTAAAATAATGTACAACAAATAAAAATGAACTAATGAGAGTTCACTCTACTTTTTTCTCTCTTTAGGAAGTAAAATGAAATTTCTGCAGAAGAAATGAAATCTTTGATAGACTGTCTGCATCCTAAATAGAACAGAAAGTGCCAAAGAAAATATTTTTCCAGGAGTCAGGAGGCCCTGAAGTAGCCTACGAAATCCTGGAAAGTTGAAAAGGCTATAGAGTGGACCAAGTCCGTGGAGGAGGCTTCTCCTGCTGCTGCTGCTGTAGTGATCACTGGACAGCTGTTGGGAGTAGTCTGGAACCAATGTTCCCATTGGCCTGCCTCCATTTTTTTCCCCCAGTGCCTTTTTCTATTTAATTCTTGGGCTCAGTCTTTGTGTTATGTGCTTAGTCTCTGAAGGCACTTGTCTTTTACTAGGGAAGGATTTGGTGTTGCATTTTAAAAAACTCAAAGAGGAGGGGTGCCTGGCTCAAAATAAATAGATAAAGAAAGAGCTCAAAGATGAGCATGATGAGAGGAATTCTGAGGTTAAGGTACTGGGGAACAGGATGGACATGCAGAATATGCCTATAGACATAAAAAATTCTCATCACTGAGATACCGTGGCAGCTTTAAACCTGTGGGCTGTTTGAGCTGAGCCCAGGAATATACTACTCCAGAAGCTCCAGCCTAACGTTTTGTCCAGGGGGGATCGCACTTCTGTGGAAGCCGTATTTATTAACACTGCTGTTGAGGATCAGTGTAAGGTGTAAGGATCAGTGTAAGGAACACCTTACAGCTTCTCTTCCACATCGCATGGCACATAAGTAGCCTGTGGAATTCTAACAGGAAAACATCCTTGCAAGGGCATGATGGTATATGTATGTCATCTCATTCAGTCTTTAAGTCAACTTCATGAGATATTTGCATCTCCCATTTTACTAATGAAGAAACTGGATTTCAGAGAGGTTAAGTAACTTGCCCAGAGTTCTATAACAGAGTCAGAACTGAAGCCGGGACTACTCATTTGTGAACACAGAGAAAGTTGGTTAATCCTGCGGTTGGAAATTTGAGCTCTTTGGGACTATAGCTATTTAAAAAAAGTTTTCTTTGTAGCTCAGAGCCAACTCTCAGCTCTGAGGATAAGGGACTTCAAACCATAGGTGCCTACAGGAGACTCTTTTTTGGTTCCCCTACAATTGTTGAACTTTTTGCCCTAATTAAGTTGGACTCAAGACTATGAACATTTCCTGGGCACTCACCTTATAATCACCCTGACCCTTAATATCTAAAATAGTAGTAGGAACTTACCAGTGATGGTGTAATTTTCAGTGATAAGGGTTTTAGATGTCAGCTTGTTTTCTTCAGTTCCTCCTGATGGGTTTAACTGGCATAAAAAGTATTTATTCGAACTTAACAAAACCTTATGAGTTGTATTATGATGCAGTTTATTGACTCGTACAGTATTCTCATTACAACCCATTCAGGTGCACATGAATGAATCTGAAGCAGATACCATTTAAGGCTGGTGCTATATATTAATTCTTAGGGGTCTAGAAAATAGAACTGAGCCTATATCTTTTTAAAAATGTTTATTAAGCAGCTTACCCCAGCGGGGCTCTTAGCAAACATCTATTTGCCACTCCCAACCCTGAGATCAATAATTGGGAATTGTTTATAAAATGGGGGTAGGAGGTATTAGTGGTGAACACTGACGGTCCCTCTGTGAGGAGACCTTTGCCTCAGGGATGGCGGTCTTATTTTATCCCTGTGACCTGAAGCTACTTCCTTTCCTTAGGTCTGTTTTATTTTGTTTGTGTAAAGTATGATGAATTCTGGACATATTTGTAAAAGAGTTGCTCGAGATTTGTATAAGATGTTGTTTATAGATCTTTTAATGAATAAACACAAAAATTCCATGGATCTCTTGGAGAATTTTAAATAAAATTGCTTAAGATGTAAAGACCTTCTACATTACTTACACCTGTAACTAGCACATTTATCTGATGATGGTTCGAAAGACAATCCGAATCAATGCTAGACTAACCCGACTTAGTAACCGTGGCCAGCACTTCCAGGCTCCTGACAGACAAAGCCTAGGTCTGGATCGCACACATATAGGGCAGGCATATACTTGGTACTGGCTTGCTTAGCTGGGGAACCAGGACCAGAGCCGGTGCTCTGGCCGCAGCAGGAGTGGTGGGGAGGCAATGAGGAGCACTTTCTATTTCCGGACACCCAGAAGGCAAAATGAGTGGATTTTACAGACGCCCTGAAGGCAAAATGACAGGCTTTTGCAGAATTTGGAATTGGTGGGCAATTGCTAACCTCACCTTGGAGGTGCCTTTTGTTACGAAGACCCTTAACCTTCTCAGTTTTAACTGGAGACTAATGCAAGAGCTCTCAGGGGCCGAGAACGAAACACAGCGGGGGGGGGGGGGGGTACAACAAGGAGCTCAAGGGGACAAAGCCTGCCACAAAGTTCAAAGGTTGGAGGTTAAGGGAGCAAGCCGAGTGGGAAACCGGTCTCTCTCTCCGCCCAGTCCCACTGCCAGCTCCCTCCAAGAGTCTCAAAGCACGCCCTCCCCCAAATAGCGAAGTCCTGCCGGCAACGACAGTCCTAACTGCCCTCCAAATTGCTCCAGTCGAAGGCAAAAAAACGGACACGCCGAGGGACAGGAAGTTGAGGTGTTCCGCCGACTCTGGGAACTCGCGACGTGACGTCACGTCCGACCAAAACAAAATGGCCGGGCAATTCCCAGCCGCGGGGCGAGCGCGCCTTCAGGATTGCCAACTAAGCATGCGCGGAGCCAATGCGCAGGGTGACGTGCGTTACGTCATGGCGGGCGCAGGCGTACTGAACGGGCCTGAGTCTGCGCAGACTCAGGAAACTTCGGCCAGGCTAAGAATGGCGGGCACGGGTTTAGTCGCCGGAGAGGTCGTGGTAGACGCGCTGCCGTATTTTGACCAAGGTTACGAAGCGCCGGGTGTGCGGGAAGCGGTAAGTTCGCGCTGTCGGTGCTGCTGGCTCAGCGCTTTCTGGCCCTTCGTGCCGAGAAAGCACCTTGCAAGTTGCTCTCCCCGTCCGGGCCCCTGTGCTCGTTTCTAGGCGGCGGCGCTGGTGGAGGAGGAGACCCGCAGATACCGACCTACCAAGAACTACCTGAGCTACCTGACAGCCCCGGATTATTCCGCTTTTGAGGTAAATGTGACGTCTTGAGTGCTGTGGAATGTTTGGGATTGAGAGTCGTAGCCACGGAAAAGTGAATCTTAAAATCCGGCTTTAACGCTTACTTGCTTGCTTAGCCACTACTTAGTCCGTTGTGTAGGCGTTGCGGGGGCTTTGAGAACCACTAGGTACGCGTTCTCCGCCTTTCTTAATTCTGAGCCCCACTGAAGGGCTTTCTGGGGCTTCGCGAACCAGCGAACCAGGCAGAAGTTAGTGTGTACGCTTTTCAGAGATTGGCCCTTTGGCGTAAATTTCCGAAGGTGTGCGCTCTCTAAGGCCTACACTAAAACGGGTCGTTAGGAATTTTCAATGTATTTAAGCCTAATTGCCTAGGCCCCTGAGAACCACTAGGGGGCGGCCTTTGCATCACAGCCTAGATATTTACCGAATCTATGACCGAAGTGACGAACTGTATAGAAGTAAAATACTATTTAAAAAATAGCCCAGAAGTGCACTCAGGATACTACTTAGGGTGTGATCAGCCAAATGTAATGTGAAGTATCATTTCTAAACTGATAGATTCTGGTAGGCATTTTAGTATATATATGTTTGGGGTTTTTTCTTTCCCGTTATAGGTAACCATGTCTTTAATGAAAGAATTCTGTTATTAAAACGCAGTATTAGGGCACCTGGTGGCTCGGGCGGCTGAGAGTCCGACTCTTGATTTCCGCTCAGGTCCTGATCCCAGGTCGTGGGATCGTGCTCCTCGTGGGGACTCCCCGCTAGGCACGGAGCCTGCTGGAGAGCCGGTGTAGCTTCCCCTCCCCCATGCGCTTGCTCTTTCCCTCCCTCTCAAATTAAAAACAAACAAAAAATGCAGTATTTATATTGAGGTAATGGGGGGAAGTTGGTTAAATTTTCACTGGAGAGAGAGAGGTGCTCCTGTGATATGTTATTTTCCCATGCGTTTTCTAAATGTTACCCAAACAAATAAATAAATGTTGCTACGCAAACATAGATGGTGCCACATTAAGAACTAAGTACAGGCGGGCTGAACATTTAAAAAAATTATTTTAAAAAGTACAGTTATGCTTCTTTGTCAGATTGACTCTTGAAAATTTCAGATAACCCAGTTTTCTTTTCAGCTCTCTTAAATACAACAGATGCCTCCGGTGTTTATAATTAGTGTACTGGTTATTTAACCCTTTTTTATTAAAAAAAAAAAAAAAAAGCAATTAATAGTGTACTGGGCTCACCATCTCAGTCCTAAAAACAGCCTTGTGAACTGTGTAACTATGTTTATTATCCTCATTTTCAAATGGGAAAACTGCAGCCTAGAGAAGCTAATTTGCCTAAGACCCATAACAAATCTTCAAATTGTTTTTGAATCTGCTCTTCCCAGGTGCCTGGCAGCCTCGGTTGGTAGAGCATATCGCTCTTGACCTCAAGGTTGTAAGTTTGAGGCCCACATTTTTACTTAAAATTGCTAAGGGGCCCACTGTTGATTTCGGCTCCGGTCATGATGTCATGGTTTGTGGGTTTGAGGCCCTCATTGGGCTCCATGCTGACAATTTGGAGCCTGCTTAGGATTCCATCTCCCTCTCTCTCTCTGCCCCTCCCCTGCTTGCTCTCTATCTCTGTCAAAATAAATAAATAAAAATAAACATTTTCTTTTAAAAAAAGAAGGAAAGAAAAACTGCTCTTGCGTTAATTCATTTAACAATTATTTATGGGGGGAAAACCTATTTATGAAGTCTGTTCTACACCAGGAATTGGGTAGCTGAAACACTATGATAAACGAATACTGAAGTTGGGGGAAAGGGAGAGAGGCAAACCATGAGAGACTCTTGAATGCTGACAAAAACTGAGGACTGATGGATGTGGGGGGGAGGAGGGATGGGCATGGAGGAGGGCACTTGTGGGGGGAGCACTGAGTGTTATGTGGAAACTAATTTGACAATAAACTATTTGTAAATAAAATAAAATAAATGAATACTGAAACAGTTCTTTTTACTCGGGCCAGGAATTGTTTGAACAGAAATAGGATAGGATATTGACCAAAGCATTGGACCTAAAGGAGTGGAGCTCTACTATGTATTTTTTTTAGTTCTACAATTGTTAGAACAGATAGCAGAACCAGTCTCTTCCCTTTCCCCATTTCTCATTCTTTGAAGAGAGTAAAGTATGAAAATAGCAACCAGGACCAAAAAGAAAGTATGGGTTTATGCACGTAGCCCCTAAAGCAAAAGCAAATTCTTTCACGTCCAAGTCGTTTCCTCCTTCCCTGCCCCCCAGTGAATACTTAGATCACCACTGGCTTGACAATACAATCAAGTAATTAGTTAAAAACAAATTATAATCATGTCCTGTCTCCACCTCAGAACGCTTACATGGGTGGTGGGGGAGGGGGAGGATATAACTAGAATTGGAATTGTTTTCAAAACTCCCATCTGGTTATTTATTATGTGCTGCTGGACTAAGAAACGCTGATCTAGGATTAATCCTTTTCCTCACTGTGGGTCCCTTTACGTACGACATGTGTGTTCTGAGCCTTGAGAACATTTAACGCAGAGAAGACTTGGTGGGAAGGGAAATGATCCATAGTAATGGAGAGCATGAAGTACAGATATTTAGGCAGGTTAGATTCATGATCTGTTTGGTCGTTGTTAATTGTAAGTTGTCGATATGATTTTGGAAATAATTCTTTCTCCAAATCAGACCGACATAATGAGAAATGAATTTGAAAGACTGGCTGCTCGACAACCAATAGAATTACTCAGTATGAAACGGTAAGTTCTCTTTCTGGGTTCAGCTGGACCCAGATCGTTGTTCAATTTTAAGTTACTGGTAAAACTGCTGTAGCTTTGTTAAAATGTTGAAAAGAAAAAATTCTTACCTGATTCTATGTATTTATATTTTTTCAGGTAATAGTGGTTCTTATATTAATACTCAGATAAATTTTTGCACTGTTTTTAATTTTTATGTTTATTTATTATTGAGACAGAAATAGAGCATGAGTGAGGGAGGGGCCGAGAGAGGGAGGCACAGAGCCTGCTTCAGATCCTCTGCACGCTCTCTCTCGTTCTCCAAAATAAATTTTTTAAAAAATGCAACCTATTGTATTTTAAAATGCAACAACAGAGGAATGATGAATTGGAATGAGGTTCATGTTTTTAAAATTTTTCAAGGAGATGTTCCTAATTAGGCCTCTTCGCTGATAACATACCTGGGTGAAGCTATGTTAACGGCTTACAAGGATTCCTGCCTCACCTTTACACAAGGCAGCATTAGTGAGCACAGAGTGCCAGGGTAGTTTGACTTTGGTTCCACTCTCTTCCCTCCCCTGTCACTTTATTCCAGAATTGCTTTTCTCTCAGGGGCAGAAAACCCAAACTTCCTTTGTTACTTGCTCTAAAATGGAGAATAGGGTTGCTTAACATCTGAGATCCCTTTTGGCTTCAAGATCGCTATGGAATTGTGAGAAGTGCTAAGTAATCTGTCAGAGCCTTTGAGAGAGGGCCACACGCACAGAAGGTCTAACCTCTCGGCATATGTATAGGTTAGAAGAGGGTTTGAGTCTGTAGAACCAGAGACTGTCTTGCTGCTTTTCTTGTGCTCCATCCCCTGTCTGTCCTGAGTGATAAAGGCAGCAGAAGTTCCACAATGCCCCAGTTCTTCTGTTTCCAGGTGCTTCCGCTCTGTAGGTATTCATGACAGTAACTCCTTCATGGCAGCATGTCTCGGAGCCTAAGTATAATGACCCATTAAACAGTGGATTGTGAAGGAAATTTAATGAGCTATCACAGCATTCTTTAAAGGAAATAGATTTGGGGTTCCTGCACAAGGATTCCATCTGTAGTCTTCTATGGATTTTACATTGTGCACAGGCCTGTGAGGCATTCTGTCGGAAGGAAAGATAAAGATTTTATTGCTGTTTGATTTCAGATATGAACTTCCAGCCCCTTCCTCGGGTCAGAAAAATGACATCACTGCATGGCAAGAGTGTGTAAACAATTCTATGGCCCAGTTAGAGCATCAGGCGGTTCGAATTGAGAACCTGGAACTAATGTCCCAGCACGGATGCAATGCCTGGAAAGTGTATAATGAGTAAGAAGCTGTTTGTTCTTATAAACCCCTCCCACCCACAGCTGTGGTGTTTTTTTAAAAGTGTGGGAAGTAGGGTAGGAAAGTGGGGTAAAAGGAACACAGTGGACTTTCACTTGGGATCATGTCCTAGAACTGCTAGAACCCACATGAAAAGCCACGGCTTTGAGACCCGTCTCAAGGAGCACGGAGGGGACTTAAACCTCATTGTAATTACATGAGTCCCGGGGTCTGATTGGCCACTCACAACACAGCGGAATGTAATCCTTCATGTGGCAGATTGCTCACAATGTTGATTCTCATTTATTCCGTGTTATGTTCTATAAAGTGGCCTTAAATACTGAATTAGTAAATACTGTATCTCATCTCCTGGGGTAAATAAGGGTTGTGTGTGTATATATATATATATATATATATATATATATACACACATCTCGCATAGGCTTTGATCTTAAATCCTAAAAACAACTTGTCCTGGTACATTCGGTTTTCTTTATTTTATAAAAGAGAAAATTCCCCGGGGGGCTCGGTCAATCAAGCCTCTGACTCTTCATTCCGGCTCAGGTCATGATCTCACGGTTCGTGCCCCACATCATGCTCTGCTGACAGTGCAGAGCCTGCTTGGGGTTTTCTCTCTGCCTCTCCCTGCTGATCCCCTGCTTGCACATGTGCGTGCTTTCTGTCTCTCAAAGATAAATAAACATTTAAAAAAACCCAAAAAGCCCCATCCTTTCGTCATGTCTGTATGAAACCTGAAACAATCAGAGCATCTCCTTGTTCTGCTTCGGCGAGAATGTCCTCGTCCAGCAGCTCAAATTCTGTGCTGCTCCGAGCATGTGGTTAATGATCATCGAGCATTGCAAGTATTAATTTTGAGGTTACAAGTAAACTTGAATGAATAGGCAAGTTCACAGGTACGGACTCTGCAAATAATGTGAATGGACTGTAAGAAAAGATTCACATGGGAAGCGCCGTGCCCACGCCAGCCACCGAGCCCCTCTTTCTGGTCCATGTAACTGGCTTTAGCTTTAGGTTTTGTTACTTACCCAGGACTCTATTTTCTTATTTATAAAATTCAATGGTTAGATGATCTCTCTGTTGCCTTTGAGCCCTAAAATCCCCTGAGTCTTCTATTAGAAGTTTAAGGAGAAAAAGCCATTGAACCTCATGACTGCATCAGACTACTTGTTAGAGTATCTTTCCTAGAATAATAAAGCAAAATCACAAAATGATAAATACCTTTTCTCAGGTTTTCAGAATTATGTTTTAAATTTCTGTGGTCACGTAAGGATCCAGGGGCAAAATCCAAAATTGGGGAAACTACAGAGCAAAACATTTCCATTTCTTCTGTGAATATGTTGCAAGGGAAAGAAAAGAAAAATGGAGTTGGGGTAATAAAGAAATTTAACAGCGGGGCACCCAGGGGGCTCAGTCATTAAGCGTCCAACTCTTGTTTTTGGCTCAGGTCATGATGTGGTTTGTGAGTTCAAGCCACAGAGCCTCTTGGGATTCATTCTCTCTCCCTCTCCCTCTCCCTCCTTCCCTGTCCTGCCCCTCTTCCACTTGTCCTTTCTCTTTAAAAAAAAAAATAATAAATTTTTAAGTCTATTTCACAAAGTGGAAAATTTACATTGGAAAAAGCATTGCTTTCAACTTGCCTAGAAGCCTTTAATAATGTCCCATTTACTGCAGGGTAAGGTCCAAACTAGAAACATGGTCTTCAAGGCAAAGGGCTGGGTATCTCAGTGGTAGACTTTTACTCCATCCAGAGGAATCCTCTGTCTTGTGACTATCATAACTCTGCCTGTGGGCCTTTCCTCATGCCTCGCCTCCTGGAATTCCTTTACCTAGTCTGCCCAAATTCAATTTATTTAAGGCTACACTCTAATCCACTTCTTTCTTTCCCATCTTGTTTAAGTTTTCTTTCCTTGTGAAGGGGTTTGAGGGCATGGGCAGAAAGCTACTAGCTCTAAGGTCTTGGTACAGGATTGCTTAAAAAAAAAAAAAAAGCATCTCATTAATGAGAGAATTATGTACTTGGTGATTTTAAAGGGAAATCTTCGGGGTCAGCCCTTGGTTTTATGGAGGCTTGCTTAGGCTTAGCCTCAGTGATGACTCATTCAAGGACACACAGCTGTTTAGGGCAGAGCTGGGACTAGAACTCTCTGAACTAGAACTGACTAGAACTTTCTGACTCTCTTGAAGACTAGTCCCATTTGGACTAGAACTCTTCTGACTCCCATGAAGTAATGCCATCAGTTTTAATAATAATATGTTCAGAGTGCTTGAGGAGTGACATATAGGGGCACACCTTGTTTTGTGACATTTTGCTGTATTGCATTTTTTACAAATTGAAGGTTTGTGGTAACCTTGCCTGAAACAAGTCTGGCGGTGTCATTTTCCAGTAGCTCACTTCCTGTCTCAATGTCCCATTTTAGTAATTCTCTCAGTATTTTAAACTTTTTCATTTTATTTGTCACAATGATCTGTGATCAGTGATTACAACTTGCTCAAACAGTGGTTAGCAATTTTTAGTAATAAAGTATTTCTTAATTAAGGCAAGTACATTTTTTTTTTTCACGTTAATGCTATTACACAATAGGCTACAGTATAGTATAAGCATTAACTTCTGTATGCACTGGAAAGCAATTTGATTTGCTTTATTGTGATACTCACTTTAATGTGGTGGCCTGGAACCTCACCGGCAGTGTCTCTGAGGTATGCTTGTACTTAGGAGGGTGAAAGAAAGAAGACAAACTGGGCTTGCAGGAAGAGGTAGTTCAAGGGAAAGCTTCCTCCTATTGAAGGTCAGAGGTCGGGAATAGGGTGCCAAATTTGATTGTCCTCAGGAGCATAGAATGCTCATAGATAAGCTATGGAGGGCACTGGGGGGGCTCAGTTGGTTGAGCGTCCGACTTCGGCTCAGGTCATGATCTCCATGGCTCTTCGTGAGTTCGAGCCCTGCGTCAGGCTCTGTGCTGACAGCTCAGAGCCTGGAGCCTGCTTCAGATTCTGTGTCTCCCTCTCTCTGCCTGTCCCCCGCTCATGCTCTGTTTGTCTCCCTCCTTCAAAAATAAATAAGCATTTAAAAAAATTTTAATCGCTTCAAGTAAAGATAAGCCTGGATAGACAACTGCTGTTTGAAGGCTGAATCTTGATATAATTGCAGTTGGGGGGTGGGGGGGTGGCAGAAACAGAGGAGTAATAACTTAGGAGAAGAGAAGGATATTTGAGTCACTGAGGCCAGGAAACAATATTGGATCTAGAGCAAGAGAATAGTGGGTTGAAATGGACCCTAAAGGTGATTCTCTACTGCCTTCAGAGGAGATGGATATGGTTATGTGAATTACATCTCAATAAAAACATGGAGGAGGGTTGGCATCTGCCCTTGAATCACTTCTCTCGGGCTCCTGGATGGCTTAGTTGGTTAAGCATCAGCTCTGGTCAGGTACAGCCTCAGAGCTCACGAGTCCCAGCCCTGCTTGCGTGCATGTATGCTCTAAATAAACACTTAAAACATTTTTAATTACTTCTCTCAGGTTGATGATTGCACACTACTGTACATCACTCAGCTGCGCCCCTGTGCTAGTGAGAACTGACTTGCCCTGAATCCGAATCAGCAGCCCTCCATGACAGTTTTCTGTCTCCAGTTAGGTTAGCAATAGATGGGAGAGAAGAATGACACGATTAATGTGGGTATAGAAATAGGGAGATGATAGGGATTTGAATGAGTACAATCATGAGTTATTTTCCATCTTCTCTATGGAAAGAAGTAATTACAGTTTAAGAAGTGACCTAAGTATATGAAATCAGGATATCAGTAAACTGGTTGGGCCTGAGAGGTTAAAAGACCTAAAATGGAATTCAGTTCTGACACTCACCTGTGTTACCTCGACCAAGTTACTTAATTTTTCTAAGCTTAATGTCTTCACATAGGAAATAGAGGTAATCATACCTACCTCAAAGAATTCTTAGGAGAATTAAATTAGCTAATAGTTACATAGAGTGTCTAATGTGGTGTTTGGCACAGAGCTCAATAGCAGAAGAACTTGAACTTGCATCAACTAGATCACGTTTAGTTGGTATTAGTACATTTTAATGTATATTAATCTGATTTTCCTCTTTTCTTTCCTTAGAAATCTAGTTCATATGATTGAACATGCGCAGAAAGAGCTCCAGAAGTTAAGGTAAGTTGATTTTTCCTCTTATTTTATTTTCCTGTTTATTTATTACGATTTTTTTAATGTTTGTTTATTTTTGAGAGAGTGCACATGAGTAGGGGAGGGGCAGAGAGAGGAGACAGAAGATCTGAAATGGGGGCTCAAACTCACAAACTGTGAGAATATGACCTGAGCCAAAGTCGGATGCTTCACTGACTGAGCCACCCAGGTACCCCTTGAAATTTTTATTTTCAAGTAATCTACATCCAGCATAGGGGTTGAGCTCACAGCTCAAAATCATGCAAAATCAAGAGTTGTATGTTCTTCTGCCTGAGCCAGCAGGTGCCCCTATTTTCTTCTTACTTTAAAGTTTAGGTGAATCCTTATTAATCGGGATGAGAAGGAAAAGGGACCCCTGGACTGTAGTCATACGGGGGTAAAACTGGATGACCTGCTGTGTTCAGCATCCAGTGCTGGGTTTGCCTTCCTGGAGCACAGAAGAAACAGACTTGAGATCTGAAAACATCTCTACCAGGTTATTTGCAATCTGCAAATCTGCAGACATGGAAAAGGCACTTTGAGAAGGAGAAAATGTTGCAGAAGAACATCTATAATCTGATTGATAATTTAAAAAAATTCATCTTGGGGTGTCTGGGGTAAAGCATGCAGCTCTTGATCTTAGGGTCATAGGTTCAAGCCCCGTGTTGGGCATAGAGACTATTTTTAAAAAATTAATCTTGCACGTACACATGTAGGAAAGAATTTGGAAAGAAAGTAGATTGGAAAAACACCCACCAAAAACTGAGCAGCAGGTAGTCAGAAGGAGAGGCACGTGGGAGGAGGGCTGCTCTCCAGTCTCTGTGTGTACAGGTCTATGCACTATGTGTTTAGGTTTCGTGTGAGCATGTTGTATGGAATTTGTAAATGAAAAATAGAATAAAGGTAATTCCTGGAATCAGTCTTTTACTGTATGTATCTGTTCCTCTCAGGGAACTAAAGATGTTGTATTATGTTGCTTATAGATTTTTCTGCTGGTTTTTTCGTCTCCTGTTAAAATGTAGGAGGGTCAAATAAATGATGTTTTACAGGAAACATATTCAGGACTTAAACTGGCAGCGAAAGAACATGCAGCTCACAGCCGGGTCCAAGTTAAGGGAGATGGAGTCAGCGTGCGTATCTTCAGTTCCCTCCTCTTTTTTTATTTTATTTTATGATTTTATGTGTTTATTTTATTTTGAGAGACAGAGCCTGGCGGGGGGGGGGGGGGGGGCAGGGAAAGGGGGACAGAGAATCAGAAGCAGCTCCAGGCTCCGAGCTGTCAGCACAGAGCCCACATGGAGCTCAAGCCCATGACCTGAGCCAAAGTCAGACACTTGACCGACTGAACCCCCAGGTGCCCCAGTTTCATCATCTTTTAAATCACTTAGCACATTTTAAGATCAGGATTTAATAATTTGATTCAACACTGTTCAGACGTTATGCCACGAGTGTCAAAGATGCTGCATTCTGAGTCCCGCCCTCCCTGCCTCTGCCTGGCTCTTGAAGGTAGGCTTGGAAGGCAGAGGCAGGGACAGAACCACCGCTGCCCATTTCCGGCCTCAGAGCTCCCGTCTTCCGTCTGGCGTTTCTGCTCCGGAAAGGATTCTACTTCTTCTCCTTTTAAAAGGAAAAAAAAACTTACTTTTTTAACTCATGAGGGAGGGAGATTTCATACTTTGACCATTCGTGTTGTTTTTCCCCTGTGTTTACGTATTTTACTTTAAAAATGCTCTTCATGTACGCCATTAAGTTTATATGAATCCCTACATATAATCAGGAACTTTTGTGTCATTTCTTTTTTGCTTTGCGATTTCCCTTCCCCCTTCTCCCGCCCGTCATTCTTGTTTAACCTCCTTCTCCACGAACCTGTTATCAGTCTACCCATCTTTTCAGTTTTCTTCAAGCTAATAGAATCTCTCAGATATACAGGTTTGTTTCTTTTCATTGGTCAGAGAGAGGTTTTCCCGTGGGATTATTTACTAGTTCTAGAAACTTTCATTTTTAACTATTGCCTCTACCCTATTTTCTCTATGTTTATTTAATCCCATTAAATATTACCTTCCATCACCTTGTTCTGTCTCTTCAACCGTTTCTAATTAGCTTTAATATTTTTTTATTTTGAAATAATTATAGATTCACGTTCAGTTGTAAGAAATATTACAGCCAGACTTTATGTGCCCTTTGTCCACTTAGCCCCAGCTGTGCCTCAGTTTTTTAAAATGGAAAGTTAAAATGGTTCACGATATGACCCTGACTGAAAACATACATATGATAAAATCTTCTAAGAAATTTTTTATATTATTTTTTCCTTTTTTTTTTTTTTTTAACTTGTCTAGTTGGGTATCCCTCGTCAGCAAGAATTACGAGATTGAAAGGACTATTGTGCAATTAGAAAATGAAATCTTTCAAATGAAGCAGCAACACGGAGAGGCGAACAAAGAAAACATCCAGCAAGACTTCTGAAGAGACAGATGAATTTGATGGGTGGAGGGAAGGCAGACCGGGCTTTCACAGAAAACTGAGCATTTGAACCCTAAGGGAGAGCAGCACCTCAAAGAGATCATCAGTGGTTAAATGTTTACTGTAGAGTGTGAGCTGTTATATTCGTACATTTTAGCAAAAGCTTTCAGCCTGCTGGGGTTTTTGGGGGATTTTTTGTTTGTTTTTTTTGTTTGTTTTTGCCATAAAAAAACAACAGCAACTTTAGGCTTTCAAAGTAAGTATGACTTTAGAATGATATATCATAGAATTAATTTTGAACCAATGGACCATATTTTGTATCCAAGAGATCTTTATTGAAAGTTTTTAACATGTACAGTAAGTTGGAAACTTTCAGTTTATGTATTTTCAAATAAAGGGGTGAGTTCTAAACAGATGTGGGATTGCCAAGCAGGACTTCTGAGATACACTGTCGGTCTGTGCCGTCCGTCGTCACTATCACCAGGGGCACCAGTTTCATAAAGCTTGATGTGTGCTGAGCCCTGTTCTAAGCCCTTGAGGGAGGGGAACTAAACTCACGTGACTGCAAAAGTCATGTGCTCCTCCCAGAAACCGCAGGGGGCAGGTGCTGTCGCTCCCACACACACTTGTAGTGGGTGCTGATCAAGGGACTCGTCAAAGCTCTGTAGCCAGGACGGCACCCAGGTGTTTGGTCCAGTAGTAGAGCTCCAGCTGCATCCTAACCCTCTACTTGGAAGGAACTATCGCATATAACAGATGACTTCCCAGTTCAGAAGAAAGTATTTGCGCACGTCTGCCTGCCATCGGTCCCTGTGACCTTGACGCTCTCACTGCTGTTTTTTTGGGTTACAGGCTCTCCTTATCCCACGCCTTCTGTAATGCAGAGTTGAGTTCATGATTCTGAAATAAAAGCTAAACAGCAACAAAGCTCATTATTGGAGGAGGGAGTTAGATGGAGTGTTAAAGCCATATTTCTCAAGTTTGGTTTTTTTAAGTTTGTTTATTTTGAGAGAGCACATGCGTACAAGGGAGAGGGGCAGAGAGAGGGCCCCAAGCAGGCCCCCATTCTGTCTGCACTAAAGCCTTAGGCGTGGCTTGATTTTACAAACTGAGATCACGACCTGAGCCCAGATCAAAAGTCAGATGCTTAACTGACTGAGCCACCCAGGCGCTCTCCCCTCCTTCTTTTTTAATTTTAAGTAGGCTCCGCACCCAATGTGGAGCTCGAACTCACGACCCTGAGATTGAGTTGCACACTGCATAGACTGAGCCAGCCAGACGCCCCTGTCTTTCTCAAGTTTCTCTTAATGGAAGAGAGGGAATACCTTTTGGGAGCAGAGGGTTACTGGCTTAAGGTCATAATTTGAAGTCACTTGTGACACCAAGTATCGCCATCTTTTATTTTTTTATTAATGATATTATTGCCCCACTGGAAAATTCATCCCACTAATGCCTCATCCAATTTGCCTCACCTTCTTAGCCCCAAGAGACTGTGTCTGTTCCCTGCCTGAGAGACAAGACTTTAGGGTAGCCCTGTCCCTTGCCACACTCCTGTCCAGCGCGACTCCCTCAGATCCTCACTTGTGCCGGGTTACTGGTAAACCTGGCCTAGTACCGTGACCCACTTACAAAGTTTGCGCGTTTCCTCAGTCGAGTTTGGAGTGCCAGGTTCAGGGTGCATTACTCTACAGAAAGCAGCTCTAGTCAATGACAAAGCAGTAAATTAAGACTGATCATTCTCAGGGCGCCTGGGTGGCTCAGTCGGTTAAGCGTCCGACTTCAGCTCAGGTCATAATCTCAACGCTTGTGGGTTCAAGCCCTGCGTCGGGCTCTGTGCTGACAGATCGAAGCCTGGAGCCTGCTCTGGATTCTGTGTCTGCCCCTCCCCTGCTTGTACTCTGTCTCTCTCAGAAATAAACATTTTAAGATTGCTCTCTTTCTTCAGATAGATCATACTCATAAAGTTTTTCCCATTACTTGAGGTTCCTCTCGTTCATAAGTAACTACAGAGTTTGAGGCTGACTCCAGCTAAGCTGCACTGCATGCAGCAGAACACTTGATTTTTAGAGTGTCAAACGGTATATAGTGTAGATTGAAATCTATTCGATTGTCATCCTACAAGGGAAAATAATGAGCAGAGAGGAGCGTGAATGAGTTAGCTCTTCTTTATCAACTGTAAGAGAAATCGAGCTTCCTAGCCCATATGAAAAAACTTGCAGTTACCATCAAGTTCACAGACATGTTTGTAAATTGTCTTAAATATTCTAATCACAGAGGTGCCTGGCTGGCTCAGTTGGTAGTTTGCGACTCTTGATCTTAGGGTTGTGAGTTCGAGTTCCATGTTGGGTGCAGAGATAACTTAAAATCTTTAAAAAAATATATTTAAGTGGGGGCGCCTGGGTGGCTCAGTTGAGCGTCTGACTTCGGCTCAGGTCATGATCTCATGGTTCATGAGTTCGAGTCCCACATCAGGCTTGCTGCTGTCTGTGCAGAGCCTGCTTCTATACTTCTTGTTATTCCTTTACTCCTTCCTCTCTTCCCTCCTGCTGGTCGTTCCAGTCCGGTATTACTGTCCCCCCAAACAAGCGTTTAGGGTATCTTTCACAGTTCTGGGGATTTGCTGGGCTTAGGTAGAGACTACTCATGGGTTCTCATACAGTTGTGGTCAGATGGCGGCCGGGACTAGTGTCCTCTCGATAGATTCGTCACTTGTATCTGACACAGGGCTGGGAGGAGTCAGACAACTGAGAGCTGGGACAGTCCGGAAATCCTGGCGCAACTCTGTGTCTATGTGGTTTCTCTCACATGGGGGCTTCGGCGTAGCCAGACTTCTTACGTGACAGCTCCAGGCTCCCAAGGCATGTCAGAGGCTCCAGCATGAGACACATTACCTTCTATGACTTGGCCCCAGAAGTCCCACAGTTACGTTTGGCCTGCTGTATTTGTTAGAAGCAAGACTGTGAAGCCAGCCCATATTCAAGGGAGAGGAATTAGATTCCGTCTCTTGTTGGGAATAATGTTGAATTTATAGACATATTTGGTTTTTCTAAACTTAGACATGTTTTAATATCCCTCCCTTTCCAACTTCTAAAGTCATTAGATGGGACAGTGCAAAGTAGGCATCCACATAGAGGATGGGCCATAAGTCCTTTCTGGGGCCGTCCTTAGAAGAGATGCCCCCCCCCCCGCCCCCCCACAGAGGCGTTGGGAAGACAGAGCAAGAGAGGAACAACACGTGGACAGACTGCAGTGAGGAGTCTGCAGCCAAGGGACACCAAGGATGGCCGGCAGCCACTGGAAACTGGGAGGAGGGATTCCTTCAGAAGGAGCATGGCCTCCTGACAGCCTGGCTTCAAACCCCCAGGCCCTAGCACTGTGAGACAGTACGTTTCTGTTGTTTTCAGACCCTTGGTGTGTGGTATGTTCCCACAGCAGCCCTAGGAGACTAAAGCAGATATGTTACAAGAGTCACGGTTTGCGCAAACAGGCATGCTGTCAATGGATACACAAAGGCTGTTACCCATCGCTCCATCCCCTGCTCTCTGCCCTCTCCCAGCACGAAATAGGAAGTATTTGGAGAACCAGATTAGCCTAAGAGGAAAAATAACAAAACCTAAAGTTGTTGAAACTGACAGTTTTTAACAAATGACCCAGCCAATTCACTTAGAAGTGATGCTCAACACCCCCCTGACTCCAACACGTAGACCTTTTTTTTTTTTTCCCCAATTAGAGCATGAGGCGGGGAGAGAGAGAGAGAGAGAGAGAGAGAGAGAGGTAGAGAATCTCAAGCCGGCTCCATGCTCAGTGCAGACCCTGATGCAGAGCTCAGTTCTACGACCCTGGGATCATGATCTGAGCCAAAATCAAGAATTGGATGCTCATCCAACTGAGGCACCAAGGTGCCCCTCACATGCATAGCTCCTAATCTTAAATAAAAACAATCAAGGATTACCAGATAGATAGCTAAGAGACTTCTTTATCATTAAAGACCAGGAACAAAAAGAGAGAAAACCCTGTGAGGAAAATAACAGAGAAATAAAAATAAAACTTTTTTTGTTTTTAAAGAACTATGTCCTCAGATGGGGTGCCTGGCTGGCTCAGTCAGTAAAACACATGACTTTTGATCATGGAGTTATAAGTTCCAACCCACATTAGGGGTAGGGTTTATTAAAAGAAAAAAGGAAAAGAAGAAAAATATATCCTCAGAGAAGTAAGAAGATAAAAAACACAATACTATTTTGTTAAGGGACACTTAGAGAACAAAACAGCTCCTAGGAATTAAAAAGCATAGTAGCAGAAATTAAAATTCAGTAGAACTGTTAGGAATTTAAGAAGTTGACAAACTCTCCCAAACAGTGGAGACAAACAGGCAAAAAATAGAAAATAGGGGGGAAAAATAAGACTGATTTAGAAGGTCAATATCCAAATATTTTTGAGATTAAAGAAAGCAAGACCAAAAAACAGAAGGAGGAAATCATCAGAAACATAATTCGGAATTTTCCAGAACCGAATGATACGAGTTTCCCAATTTCAAGGTCCCAGAACAACAGATAAAAATAAACGAACTTCAAAGCGTATTATTTATGGAGTGGCAGAACACTAAGGACGAAAAAGATTCTGCAAGATCTTGGGGAGGCATGTCAAGAATCGGGAATTCAATAATGCTCACTAGAACACTTGTGGTGTCCTCCAGACCAAAGATGGGGACGGTGGTGCGTTTGCTCTTGAGCTCCTTTCCATGAACCCAACAGGGCCCTGGGAAGCATCTGGGTGTGATCTCAGGCATCCTCAATAGGATGCCAGCGGTCCATTCTTAAATCTTCATAATAGCAAAGGATATGAGGACACTTCTGAATAGAAGAAGAGAATACAGAAACAACCCTGAAAAAAAAATCCAGAATCAAAATGTCTTTGGGCTTCTCAACATCAACTCTGGAAGCTAGAAAGACAAAGGAGCAGTGCCTTCAGAACTCTTAGGAAAAATTTCTAACCTATAATTCTATACCTAGTCAAATTATTAGTTAAGTTGAGGATAGAGTAAAGACTTTCCGTCAAATGAGATCTCAAAACCCCCTACTACCTGAGTATCCTTTCTTAAGGAGCTGCTGGAGGCTGTACCCTTCAGATCAGTGCCCTTGTGAAAGAGACCCCAGAGAGTTCCCTCCCCTCTTTTGCAAGATGATGGCTGTCTTCTAGACGCCTCCTGTATACACAGCTAGGTGGTGCTTGCTTCTCAGTATTTACATGATTACCTTTCATACTTTATACTAGGTCTTTATAGTAAGCTGAATAATGGCCCTCACCCGTGTTCGGATCAATATCCCTGGAGCCTGTGAATGTGTTACTTTCCTTGGCAAAAGGAATTATGCAGATGTGACTGAATTAAGGTTCACGAGATGGGGAGATTACCCTGGC